CCAAATATCAACAATACAACGATTGAAATTTTTTTTGAGAGCTGAAAACTGACTTCTGCGCATGGAACCACGAAGTTTCAATTGCACTGGACATGCGCTCCAGCATGTGGTATTTTGTAGAAAAGCCACACTCAGGGGCCACAAGAGCCGCATGTGGCTTGCGAGCTGCAGTTTGCCGACCACTGGGTTAGGGCATATGCATGTTTTTTAAAGAAATGTTAACTACCACCACTTAATGAGCACCACTAGACCAAGGACTGTGCCAAGAACTATAAGTAGTACATTACCTCATTTAACATAAGATAAAGCAAAACAGTTGAGTAAAAAATATCAATAAAAACTGAAAAGAGAAAATAAATTTATCTAAGACAGTAGATTTTAAAGAACACATGACTTAGATTTCCAGGCCTAAATGAAGTAAAACCCTGCAGATTAAAGATTAGACAATGATCTAGGAATAACTCAACTTTACATATGAAAAAGATGGATGTTAAAGTGATATACATCAAAAGTACACATATCAAAAATACATATTGTATCTGAGATATTTCTCTCCTTTTAAAAAGTGGCAGTAGATAAAATACTACACATAATATACTAGAAAGTCAATATTTAATAATTAACAAACCCTGAGAATAAAACTTTGAATTTGAAAAGTAAAGATTTATATAACATCGAATTATCTTAGAGATATACAATCAGTACACTAATAAAGAGCATCAGAAGATACTCTTTATAATGGCAAATAATGTTGATAAACTACATCGAACACTTGCCAATTTTAAATTCTCTATTATTGAGGTATATCTTCATTGTGAAGCTAGGTATCTAGTAAAAGAAAGTTTAAACAAAATAGCTTGATTTATTTTTTACATATATTTCTTTATTAATTTCAGAGAGGAAGGGAGAGGAAGAAAGAGCTAGAAACAACAATGATGAGAATCACTGATCAGCTGCCTCCTGCACAGCCCCTACTGGGGATCAAGCCTGCAACCTGGGCATGTGGCCTTGACTGAATCGAACCCAGGACCCTTCAGTCCCCAGGGGGATGCTCTATCCACTGAGCCATACCCTCTAGGACAGCTTGGTTCATTTTTAACTGTACAAATCAAAGCTACACCTGGCAGGCATGGCTCAGTGGATGAGTGTCAACCCATGAATCAGGAGGTCACTGTTTGATTCCAGGTCAGGGCACATGCCCAGCATGAGGCTCATTCCCCAGTGTGGGACATGTAAGAGGCAGCCAATCAATGATTCTCTCTTATCATTGATGTTTCTATCTCCCTCTCCCTCTCCCTTCATCTCTGAACAAAAAAAAAATCTCAAAAAAAATTTTACCAAAAAAATCAAAGCTAGCATTGTCCTCATAATATAAAACAAATAAAAAGCTAAAGATTCTAGGGTTGTAAATTTTCTGTAATGGAAAAATCTCAAAACATCTCAGTAAGCAAAAATCTTAAAAAGTCAGTCACAAAAGTATCTGACATTATCAACTATCAAACCATCTACTTTGTACTTTAACAAGAACATTCTTAGGACATTCCTAGGACATTCATTAAATTTAGCCCTTATGACTTGTCTTCCAGTCTCCAATCTCTAACCCTCTCCCCAGATGTTTTTCAAAAAACTCCTAAATGGAAATTAGATGTAATACAAGTACTCTCAAATCTTTAGAGATGGAAAACCTGCAGCCCAAAATTACAAAGATCTGCTGCCTTATGATCTGACCAATAAAAGCCAAAGAACTGAAACAAGTCCTGTCAACATCCTCTATCACACAAAAAAAGTGAGCATTGACTCAAAACGTAAGTATTTATTCATTAATTAAACAAATATTGTGCGTCTACTGTGTTGAAGGCACTATACTAGGCACTGATAATACAAGTACCAACAAGATATAGACAATAACTGTGCCCTCATGGAACTTCCATTCTAATGAGGAAGAAAATCCAAAAATAAGTAAAAACACTGATATAACCCAATACTGATCTAAATTCTTCCAAGCAATTTTATTCTTATGGCCCATTTTACTGCATATTATGTCAGTCAATCAGCTTAGTTTTTTCAAACTACACTCGTAATTATGCTTATTAAAGTGAAAACTAATCTTGTGACTCATTAATTTTGAAAACTTAGCTCTGAATATATATCCTTCATAAGAGAATTTAAAAATTAGCTGCCAGGTATTCACAGTAGCACTATTCACCACCACCAATGGATGAATGTATAAACAAATTGGGGAATATATGCAATAGAATATTATTCAGCCATAGAAAGGAATGCAATACAATATGGTTGAATCACAAAAGCATTATAAGTGAAAGAAGCAAGACACAAAAGGCCACATATGTATGATTCCATTTATATGAAATGTCCAGAAGAGGTAAATCCACACTGATGCCAGATTAAGGACTGGGCTACCAGAAATTGGGAGAGGGTCAGGAAGAATGAGGAACAACCATTTAATGGGTTCAGGGTTTCCTTTTTGGAGAGATGAAAATATTTTGGAACTAACCTGGCGGGTGTGACTCAGTGGTTGAGCATCAACCTATGAACCAGGAGATCATGGTTCAATCCCTGGTCAAGGCACATGCCTAGGTTACTGGCTGGATCCCAGTAGGAGGCAGCCACTGATAATTCTCTCTCATCATTGATGTTTCTATCTCTATCTCCCTCTCCCTTCCTCTCTCTGAAATAAATATATATATGAACTAGAGGTAGTAATTGCACAATATTGTGAATGATGAAATGCCACTGAATCATTAACTTTAAAATGGTTTATGTCATGGGCATTTCACCTTAATTTAAAAAACCTTTAAAAAGATTATTTTAAATTGAACTTTTTTTGTCACAAATAAAATTGCTCAAGTTTAACTTTAGAAATTTTAGTTATAAATCAAGTGTCAAACCTTAACTCCTTCTAAGACCCGTATTGATCACTTTGGGCTTTTTTGGCAAAAATAAATAAATACAAATCATTTTTTGATCCTGGTGGGTGTGGCTCAGTTTTTTGGGCATCGATCGCCCCATGCACCGAAAGGCTTTCAGTTCAATTCCTGGTCAGGGCACATGCCCAAGTTTCAGGCTCCATCTCCAGTAGAGGACATGCAGGAGGTATCCCATCAATGTTTCAAGCTCACATTAATGTTTCTCCCCCCACCCTTTCTTTTCTCTCTACAATTCAATTCTTTTTAAAAAATCTTTTTTTAAATAATTTCTTAAAAAGCTGTTTTGCCTGGCCGGCATGGCTCAGTAGTTGAACATCACCTATGAACGAGGAAGTTATGGTTCAATTCCCTGTCAGGGACATGCCCAGGTTGTGGACTCAATCCCCAGTGTAGGGTGTGCAGGAGGCAGCCAATCAATGATTCTCTCTCATCCCAATATCCCACCTGACTCTGGGCTGCCTTCATTTGTTTGCTGTTTAACCTAGACCCCAGCCTGATTAACATCTTTACTGATCATATATTTGGTATATAAACATTTGGCATATAATGTGCTCTAATGAAGTGTGTGCCCGTTAAGTTTGCGGACATCACCAACTCTTTACCTTCTTTTCAATGAAAATATCCATTCAAAGTAGTTTTTATTTTGTTAAGTCTCAATAATCTAAGTACAATTCAATGCCACCATCTCCAGAAATACAACTTTCTCCCTTTCTACCTGTTTTAACAGAACCACCGTTCAGTCTGCCTGTGGTTCAGCAGCAGTTCCTTGGGTATGTGCCCCACTCAACCCCATTTCCCAAGCTCCTGGAGGGGCGTCAGCCCTTTTCTCCAATCTATCACAACACTACAAAGCACCTCACAGTACCTTCGACATAATAGGTGCGCAAATGATGTCAGTGGAATCGAAATTAACTATTGTAAGTTACTTATTATGTTGAAAAGACATCTAACATGTAAAGACTGAAAGGACTGATATTAAATAAAAAAACACACACACAGCCCAGAGAATCCTTATGACTCACATTCAAATATGCTTTTCAATGCAACGCTACAGAACACTGTTGCATATCAAGATGAATATGAAGTAATTCACCTAATACCCGTAAAGAATAAATAGGGATTAGTCTTAATCCATCTTCCCTTTAAAGTTCGCCGTACGTAGGCAATAGAGGGAAAGTGAACTTAATGAACCACGGTATTTAAAACCAGGTCACAGGAGAGCTCCAAGTCCCCAGCCATCCTGTTCCTATTTCCTGATTGGTCTGACCTCCATGTATGATTGTGCCCAAGCCTTCCCAATTCACGATCTCCTTTAAAACATCTTCGGGGGGGTGAACTTTTTCTTAAAACAACACGGACTTCCAGAACGTGCAACCATTATGAACCAAGCACCCCCACTTTCTTCTAGTCTCCCGAAACACTTCGCTTCAGAAAAAGAAACCTAGTTTTCCGAAAGTCCCGTTACAAGTTACACGTCGAGGTAAACGTGAACCCTAAACTTGCACGAGCGGACTTCACACGACAGCATGGCTCTCCTGGCAAGGCAGACTTCAAGGACGTGGGCACACAGTTCAGGGAGCTCCTCCTAACCCTTCAAGAATGCGCATCTTTCAAATAAAGATTTTTTTTTAAACACTAAGAATAGATGAAAAACCAAAGTGAGCTCACGCTTCCCAGGGACCACCCCATTTGCTCCGCACCACGCTGGCAAAACGGCGACGCCAGAAGCCACTGGGGCAGGGGCCCCGACCCTCGGCCTCCAACCCCCACCCCCACCCCGCGGCGCCCCCAAAAGCTCAACTGGCCCCGGGCGTCCCGGAGTCGGGTTCCCCCGCTAGTTGGGTCGCTGCAAGCCAAGCCCGCGCCACCTCCACATCGCTGCGACCCACACGCCTCCTGGGCGATTTAAACCCGCTCTCCGCTCGCCACATGCACGCAGACTCGGTGTTACCGGACACCGGGCGACCGAAGGACCGGGGAGAGGCTGAGCTCGTGCGAGCGAGAAGAGGAACGGACGCTGCTCCGTCCCGCCCGGCCCGGCCCGGCACCCACCTGCAGGCCGCGAGCCCGGAGGCGCCGGCGCCGGCGCCCCTTCCTCGCCGAAGACGAGTTTGAAGTCGAGCTCGTCGTGGGCGCCACAGTTTGCAGTAGTCATCGGCGTAGCCCGGGGTGCTGTATGGCTCCTCAGGCGGCGGCGGCGGCGGCGGCGGCGGTAACGGGGGGCAGCTACAGCGGCGGCGACGGCTCCTCAGTGCCGCTTCATGCCGGGTCGCGCCAGCCAGAAGGTAGCGGCGGCTCCGCGACAAACTTTCCGGGCGGGCACCGCGACGCCGAGCGTTCCGTTCCGAACTTTAGAGCTGGCCGCGCGCCGAACTGCACCCGGAGCTGCCGCCGCTGCCAGCCTAAGCCGCCACAGTCGCCGAAGTCGACATCCCCCGCCCTGCAACAGCCGCCGCCGCCGCTGCCGCCGCCGCCGCCGGCGCGCTCCCGCGCCGAGCCGCGCGTCCGGCCCCGCCCCCTGCCGCGCGCTCGTCTGACCGGGCCCGCCCATAGGCCACTGGCGCCTCGGGCTAACCCGGAGGCCCCGCCCTTTCACCCACCTACTGCTTGACTTCGTCTCCCGGAGCAGGAAGTCACGTGACTCCGGAGTACTGACTAGCCTCGCTGCTTCTTGGGAGTTGTAGTTTGGCCTCTATTCCGGTCCCAGCTTCTAAGCCAGGCCCGCGCACCCGGGTGTAAAAGTCAACAGCCAGACCCAGCCTGGGCGGGGCGAAGCCGGAGACTTTGGGCAGCCCGACCAGTCCCGATTCCGAGCTTCGTGTCGCTGTAGACCCAGCCCTCCTGGGCGGGTCCCGCGCTCCCTAGGCTGCGCCTTTGTCTGCCCCATGAGCCGGCCTGGCAGCTGCTCCCTGGAGCACGATCGGCGGCGCATTCGAGGTCTCGGCAGAGCTTGATGGGCAAAGTCTGTCCCCTGCTGGAAAGCCCTTCGTGAACTGGCCACACTCATGGACTAGTGACCTCTGCGTCCCTGGGCACATGAAAGCGGCAGGGATCGTGCTGTTAGTGGGGAATTGACACTGTGTTGTTAAAAGAACTGTTTTCACTTTTGGCTCCTCCCCAGCAAGCTAGTCTTCCCCTGAGACAATCCAAGAAGCCTCCTCCTGGGGCCTGGGATGGAGCCAGAGCCCGGGGACGCTGAGCCTGGCTTGTTTACTTACAGCTGCTCCGAGGCCCAGCATGGACGCGGAGCTGGGTGAGCGGAGGTGGCCAGCTCCACTGGCTCCAGGACCACAGGGCGTAGCATCCGTCCTAGCCCGCGTTGCAGAGGAACCCAGTGGAGATTCAGAGATGAATTAGTGTTCTTTCAGGGGTGGGCGAGAGGCCAGCAAATCTATAATCACTGTCGGGATTAGGGCTATGCCAAGAGCTCAGAGGTTCATAATCCCGCTGGCTACAAATTCTCCACAGGTCTAAGTATGAATTGGAGAGAGGGACAAGAGGTGAGGAAGATGGTTCCAGACAGAATAATTTCCAGTCATGGAGACCAAAAGTAGCTGCAGCGAATCCTGACCAGAGTGGCTCAGTGGTAAAAGCATCAGTCTGAAGGGTCTTGGGTTCAACTCCCAGTCAATGGCATATACTTGGGTTGCAGGTTCAACCCTGGCCCAGGTTGGGGCATGCAGGAGGCAACCAATTAAAGTCTCTGTCTCTCCAACCTCCCTAGTCCCTACCCCCACACACACACACACCACCACCACCACCACCACCACCACTTCCCTCCCACTCTCTTTAGAAATCAATGGGAAAAATATTCTTGGGTGAGAATTAATCAAAATATATATATAAGAAAAAAAAAACTGCAGTGAGAAGACAAGTGTTGAGGTCACTACAGGATATCTGGACTTTATGCTGAGGGCAGTAGGGAGCCACAGAAGGGTTTAGAGCAGGGTACTTCCATGTTCAGAGTTCTGAATGAATCACTGGATTAAACTGAAAGTGGGGGAGGTTGGAGGCAGTAGAGAATAATAGTAGTCAAGGAGAGGGAGCAAATGGCATTAAGTGGGTGTAACATCCTCCCAATAAGCTGTCCTGACTTCAAAGGATCTCCAACCTTGAGGAACTGAGTGTAAAACCTAAGAGGCCAAAAGCCACACTAACTTTTCAAAGCCTTCTGCCCCAGGCAGATGGATGGCTGGCCTGCCAATTAGTACCACATGTAATATGACCCTGGAATAGTGGAAGGCCCCAGGTTGTCCACCTTACCTCCCTCTCCCCATAAAACAATGCAATTTCAGGCTGTGTCCCCTGCCCCCTCACACATACCTCCCAGGTTATCATCTGGATGGTGAAAATAGACCTTTCTCTAGCCTCTCTGTCCTCCAGCTATGATTTTACCCTTCAGCTAGCCAGGCCAAGGGAAAGGCAAGAGGAAGACTGAGCCTGTCAGCCTCACTGACAGCAAGGGACCACAGAAGATGTAGATGGCTTGAAAAATTCACCTATCCATCAAATGCTGGGTGACGCAGCCGTGTTCTCAGCCACTGCACTGGAGAAAACTTAGGAATCAGGTCTTGGGGAAGATTTCTGGTCTGGCGGAAACTGAGAACCCTGCCCTGCAGTGATGAGAGCGGGGGCAGGAGTAGGCAGAAACTTCAGGAAGAATGACTTTTGTAAGAAAGGCAGCAATGGCTGGAAGCTCTGCAGGCTGTGACAGGACCCCGCCACCACACACACACACACCAATACAAGAACTCTCTCCACCCCTTTTCCTCAGTTAGGGCCAGGACCTCCCGGATGAGCTCTTCCTCGGGCCAGCTCCAAAACTCTTACATGGCAGGAGGCCATCTGGCTCACCTCCAGCCTTCTGAGAGCCCTGTGAAACCAGGAAGCTCAGAGGACCAGGGCAGTAGACAGAACCCTCGTCTGGGCTAGTTGTGGGTCCCTTCATGCCTTCCCTCGCTCCCCTGTGAATGCCAGCCAGGCTTGAGATTTAGGTAAAGCATCTATTTCATCAGTTGCTGCAGGCCTGGCTCTGAGTCCCCTTTGTTTAAGGCTCTGTTATGGCCTCTGAGCCATGAGATGATAGCTTAGTCCAGTCTAGACCCTCTTGTTCCACATTAGAAGGAAGACTTAGAGGAAAGTCAGAGTTTAGAAAACTTTCTCCATCCTGCACATCCCCTTGTTTGATACTTACTTTTTAAATTTTTTTTCTTGGTTTCAGAGAGGAAGAAAGAGGAAGAGATAGAAACATCAATGATGAGAATTACTGATCAGCTGTGTCCTGCACACCCCTTACTGGGGATTGAGCCTGCAACCCAGACATGTGACCTTGGCCAGAATCGAACTCGGGACCCTTTAGTCCACAGGCTGACACTCTATCCACAGAGCCAAACCAGCTAGGGCTGATACTTCTGTGCCTGTTCGCCACCCCATGACAAGGCTGGCCATCAGGGACGTGAGGACTGCCCTTGAGCAGCTCCAGTCTACAACTGAAGAAAGTTAGTTGCTGAAGTCAGCACAGGGTGCTGAGAAGACAAGGTCAGCACTTTGTCCTCAAATGCTAGGCTAAGGAGTTTGGACTTGATCCAGAGGGCAGTGGAGAGCCATGGAAGAGTTCTGAGCAAGAGGGACACCTGGAAGGAACTAAGTGCAGGACTGCAGGGGTAAGAAGTTCCCCATCCATCTGCACAAAGTCCAGTCTTCCTGCTGTGGTCTTTGGAAGACCAATAGCCTTACTCATCCCTCCCTCTCATGTTCTTAGCAAAATCATTTGTCCCCAAAATGTGATGAGCTAGGAGGAAGTCCTCGATCAAGACGGCTAGAATGGATGGATAAGTATTGTGGCCACTAGCCCAGAGAGGGGTTTGGGTGACTAAGAGGCCTTAGTTTAAGGCGGGCATGGTGGGAACAGTGACTGGAACTTTCAGACCTGACTGGGACATCCGCTCAGTCCAAGGTCTTAGGCATGTCACCAGGCGGGCCTCATTGAGGTATGATAAAGTGAGACCATTTGTGGGCAAACATATTTAACCAAGATCTTTGTCAGACATCCTTAGACATGGAACATGTACTAGCCCCCTACCTACCTGCTCGCCTGGGAATGACCCTCTCCCCAGTACTTCTCCTGGGCCCTCAAAGTCCCCACACTCTTAGTAGCTAACCTCTACCCCTTCCTTTCCTTCTCTACAGCCCAAAAATGAATCTGACCCCACCAGAGAAGGGATTTCCCCAGAAAACCACAATGGTGGGCAGAGAGGCTGGATGACAAAGCCCAACCCTACTGGGGAAGTGGATCTTCAGGGGTCCTCCCATCAGCTCTGACTGGCTCAGGATGCCTGGGGGTTGAGGGGAGGGCCATTGGGGCTTCATTATCTGCCCTGTTCCAGTCAGGGTATAAGAAAAAGTGAATGGGGCATTTTTACAAAGACAGTTTTATGTAAGAAAAATCAGAAGTTGTACCTAAAGCTTGATGGCCAAGACTAGACTAAGCCTCAGTCCCTCTCCGGGGTGGGGTCTCATTTCTGGGAGCACTGGTTTGGGCAGTTAGGGAGGCTCATCATAGTGAACTCGCAGTGCCTTATCACAGGGTAGCCTATTTATCCTCCAGCCAGCCTCCAGCAGGCAGAGAGCAGCTGATTCCACTCTTAGAGGAGGGCCCTCAGCCCCAGTGAGGACTAGAAGCGACTTGCCCAACATCAGAAAGCCAAGGACTCTGAGAGGCAAAGTGTGGTAGTGCGGATCCTTATCTATACACAGAACAGCACAGCGGGTGCAGGGAGAGGCAGCCCCAGGACTGAGACGGAGTTTCACCTGCCCAACTCTGCACTCGGGCTGGAAGGGGTCAGGAGCTGCTGGCTGGCACAGGGACCTGACCCTGGGGAGATGGGAGGGGCATTTCCTTGGCCCAAAGGGGAATCCCCCTTCCCACAGAGCTCGGAGAGGGGGAGGAGAAGCGGAGTGTTTACAGCTGAGGAAGCAGGAGTGGCACTGGGCAGGGACCTTTGGTCAGAAGGCCCCTCCCCGTACGCGTGGGTGGCCTCACGGGGAGTTGAGTTGTGGTAGCCGTTTGTTTGCTTCGCACTGCCAGGAGGAAATTAAAGAGAATCTGCCACTTCCTTCCGGCCCAAACGGGATGGAGGGGGCGGAGGGCGGGGCAGTGGCGTGGGCGGGCAATCACAAGGGCCCAAAATTGTTGTCCTCAGCAGACTCCTCTGCCCAGAGCAGGCCCCTCATAGGTGTGAGCTCCAGGAGCTCAGACCCAGCACTCCCAATCTGCCTGAGCAGGTCCAGGTAACCCTAGCCATTCCCCATCTTCCGTATCTTCTTTCTTCAGGAAAGCCAACCAATGGCCATGGCCTCAGTTTACCACCAGTAGAATGGGCTTCTTGGGCCTTGCCTTCCTGGTTCAGTTCAAGTCCATTGAGCACTAAAGGTGATTTCCCTGCCCCCACTTCCCCCCAGACTCATACATTTTAGGGTGCTCCAGCTCTTCACAGAGGGTGGAAGTAGAATAATCATGCCAGCTCATCTATTAGTCCATGTGTGAAGATGCCCAAGGCTGAAGCAGCCGGCCATGGGGAGGGGCAGAGGGTGTCTTTATTGCACTGTACCGATGTCAGGTTAGGGAGGTGCTACCTGGAAAAGCCCCTGTTTTTTTTAAAGAAAATAGAGAGATCACTGGGAACTTGGCCCTGCTTCTCAGATCCACCAGGAGAGATGGGTACACTGGGCACCCCTTGACCCATATTCCAGACTGATGGCCCAGGCTAACCTCTTAACATCTGTCAGGCAGGGGCAGCAAATTGTCCAATAGCATCTGGCTCATGCTCTGTACCCACAGTCGTCTTAGGGCCACGCTCGTTGACCAGGGTCAAGACAGTGATCACCAGCCTTCCAGGGGGCTCTTGTCACCACTTCCCAAGGTTACAAAGGGCTTCTTGCACAGCTCCCCAGGCACTGCTGGCTCCTGAGCTCTGGGGCCCCCGGGGTCCTGGTCAGGTGCCTCCCTCTTACGCTTGTGCAAAGAGAGGCTCTCTTCACTCAGTCGACCCTCAGGGAGGCCCTGGCTCCGCAGACAGACGATGGCTGCAGCCTGCTCCGCCAGTTTCTTGGACTTGTCCCTGGGCAGATGAGGCATGGGGCGTTAAGGCAGGGAGGCAGGCACACCGGTGGCAGGACTAGAGGCTGGGAGGCCTTAATCTCAAAACCCTGGTCACAGATTCTGACTGAACTGAGGAAGGGGTCATAACCCAGGGATGCCACTATCCAGGTACACCATCCCCCCAAACTTCGGGCCAATGCTACAAGCCTCTAGACCACTGATGAGGAAACTCACCACAAGGTGGACTGATACTTTTGCTCAGCCACAGTGACAACAGAGCGGAAGAAGCGATCCAGGGGGCGTTGAACCTGGTGCAAAGAGAGCAAAGGAATAGGGATGCTGCATGAGGGCAACAGGAACAGCCCTGGAGGCCCCCCTGCAGGGTCACGTGGAAAGCAGAGAAAAGGAAGTCCTTCCCACCTCAGTCAAACGAAAGCCACCTGTTCCACATGCCCCCTCCCCAGCGGAAGTGTGTGGCGCATATTCCAGGGGGGAAAAGATGGATACACAGACAATGACACCACAGCACGTCTGCAGTTCTCTCATGGACCTAAGCAAAGGGCCATCAGGGCCCTTAGCTGTGCGTTGACTATGGAGTCTCCTCCTACTGACATCTGGATGGGCCAGGTCTCCAAAATAAGTAGTTCACCAGATGGCAAAGGGGTAAGAGGGGACAAGGGCTGGGGCAGAGATCAGGTGATGTGGCAGGAGAGCTGGAGGTGGGGCGGGGGAAGGGGGAGTTCTCATGCTCTGAGCTACTGAGGAATTGAGCAAGGGAATCAGAGCTCGGATTTGCTTTAGAAACGTTGCTCTGGCAGAGGAGGACACACAGTCCAGAAGGGACAAGCTTGGAGGTCAGAAGGCCAGTCCAGAAGAGACAGAGCCACCTATATAAGATAGTTATAGGGGCCAAAGGAATTGAACCAATACTGTCTCAAAATTTTCACCAAAGGGCCCCGTGTCTAGGGCCCAATTCTTGCCTCATTCGCTGAGGCCTGGTCCAAAAACATGTCTAACTTCCAGGTTTGAGCATCCTTCCTAAGCCAACTGGCCATTTCCAGAGACATCTCCCCTCCCTAAGCAACACCACGGGGCTAGCCCAGGCAGCCCTTTATTTAGGTCTCTAGTTCAGTTTTGTGAGAGAAGCGAGAATTAGACAACACGCCCACTGTCAAAGGGAAGGCACTATCAGCAAGGGACCCGACCGCCAGTAACCACCGTGTGCCTACAGAGGGCAAAGCCAGGCTCCAGCCAAGCAGCCTGGAGTCCGGGGTACAAGCTGTACGTATATGGGGGTGGTAGCCCCAGCTGTGGGAATGCTGTAGGGCTAGACGCAGGGCAGGCCACAGCCAGGAACTCACCGTTTCATATACGGGCTGCGCCAACTTCTCCCTCCGGCACCACTCCAGTAGGCACATCTTGGGGGTGATCTGAGGTGAATATGCTCTCCTAAGGAAAAGGGGGGAAGTAGTCAGGGCCCACCCACTATCACCAACCCATTTCCCAGCAAGGGCCCGGGTAGGAGCTACAGGAACAGAGACATCGAGCTGCTGCCTTTAAGATTCCTGTATCACCTATCTTTGTGGCCTGGTGGTTGAGCATCAACCTATGAACCAGGAGGTCACGGCTGTATTCCCAGTCAGGGCACATGCCCAGGTTGCGGGCTCGATCCCTGGTGGGAGCTGTGCAGGAGGCAGCCGATCAATGATTCATCATTGATGTTTCTCTCTCCCCCTCTCCCTTCCTCTCTGAAATCAATACAAATATATTTTTTAAAAATAAGACACCTGTGCCTATTCCCCTGACCTCCCGTTTCTGTCCCACCAGCAGCTAGTAGCCTGCATTCTGCCAAAAGGGAAGATGGGCTTCAGCGTGCTTAGGGAATTGAGGTGGGAAGCGAACTCCCGCACTCTGAGCTCCAGCTGGAAAATAGCCTTTGACGGCCAAGAAGGAAGGTTCGGTTTGCCTCTCAAGACAAGATCCGGAGGGAGTGGGGAACACAGGTGGCCATACAAAGGTCGCAGGAATCTAGCTTAGTACACCCTAATTATGTCTGCTGAGTGTCAACATGACCCACTGCTGCTTATCCCCAGTGGACTCTGGTTTCAGAATCAGTCTGCACCGTGTTCCAACTTCCTACCAGGGGCTCTCCATGGATGTGACTGCCCAACAGCTGTCCCTACGCCGCTCCTCCCAGGCCGGTGCCAGACAAAACCAGCTCCTGGCCTGGGCCTGGAAACCTGAGAAAGGCTTAGCGACCAGATTGCAGAGGACAAGGATGAGGGACCCAATCAAAGCTGAGTCACAGTCTGAGGCAAGGATTGGCCTGAAGCTCTATCTGCCTAGAGAGGACGCCCTAGGGCTGGTGAGGGGCAGTGGGTATGGGCAGGACTTGACAGATAAAGACCAGGATCCCACAGCTCTTGGAGAGCTCCTTGTAGGCAGCCAGTTCCTCGGGGCTAGGGGAAAAGACTCTCAGGAACAGAAGGAGAGAAGTCCTCGCACCCGAGAGGTGGGGAGTGGGTCAGGGCAAAGGTGGGTCCAGTGGCCCTTGGGACAACATGCATGACCTTGACAGCACTGCCTGGGCTCTCAGGGACTATCTTCTCCAAAGTACCCTCGTTGGGTGGCTGAAAATTGAGAACGAGTATCCAAACCAAAGAGAGTGGTGGTCCCCAAACTTGTCGCTAACCATGTACAACAGCCAGCTTGCCAGCAAGGCACTGGCCCTGGCCTAAGCTTAGGCCAGCTGGACACCTACCGGTCAAACTTGACAGCCATCTTAATGACACCAGAGGTATCTTCAGCCGGCTCCTCCGGCTCCGCTGGGGTCCTGGCCAGGACCTCGGCCCGCCGGGAGTCCAGTTCTCGTGTGGTCTCCTCATAGAAGGCACCAAGACCAAAGGCCTCACTACAGAAAGACAAGTCAAGTGGGGTAAACCCTTTAGTAGAGCCAGCATCCAGGGAACTACTGCAGGAACCAGGGCCCCACCGCCCAGAATTGCCACTCCATATGCACCAAAACACATCCAGGACCTGGCCATCAGAAGGCACCTGCTACCCACCCCTGGGATCACTCTGGACTGAGGGATGGACAGTGAATGTGGACCCCTGAGGGTGGCCACTGAGCTTTGGACCACTTTGTAGGCAGGGCTAGGTGGAACAGTTTCTTAAGGTCACCTCCATCATCTGAGCCCAGCCTCTCTTCCCAGGAGGAGCATACAGGCAGGTCTCCCAGCCAGCAGTGGCCAAGCTGACCTACACAGACCAAGTGCCAGCGGCATGCAGAGCCTCGTCCTCATGTGTGCCCACAGGAGAAGAAACGGAGGCCTGACCACTGAGTGGTTCCCCATTTCCTGCCCCGGCCGCAAGAAGTGAGGCCTCACCTAAACTGAGGAACCACCCAGAGCAACAATTACACTCTTGAAAAGTAGAGTCTTGAGCTCACGAGACACCTGGGTCAAGCTGGTGAAGTTAGGTGGCACAGGGACAGAACCAACACCACAAGCCCAGGATGAGCAGGGTTTGGGCAAGGCCTTTTTTTCTAGGCAGCATCTTAAGAACAGGTGGACGCTCACAAAGATGGTTGTCTGGGGGTGAGAATGGTTCAGAAAGGCTTCTTTGGAGGAGGCAGGATACAGACAGCCAACATGAGGGGCAGAAGAGTCAGTTCGAGCAAAGGCGTGGAGGTGGGAAGAGGGGAAATAGGGAGCTGTGGGAACAGACACTAGGTCAGGTTCTGAGGACCCCAAATGTCAACCATCTGAGTAAAGGAGCAAGGGGCGGTCTCTCAAACTGCAGAGTGATGGAATGTGGGCGCAGGCTCAGGCCAGGGGTCCATTCTGCACCCCCAACTCTCCTGATAACTGGGACTTGGTGGCATTGCATGTGAATAAGGATCTGTTACCAGGAAAGCCCCTTCTTCCCCAGGAATTCCCAAGCCCAGCCCTTGCATTCCTCCATCCTGCTAGCGCCCCAGGGACGTCGAGTTCCAAAGCTTTGACCGTATCCCCTTCTGTGCGGCAAAGCTGTGGCACAACCCCACTCCAGCACATCTGCCTCCGAAAGCTGTGTTCCTGGGTCCCTGGGAGAGTCAGCTTAGGGCTCAGGGTCAAGCCTGGGCACTGCCTACAAGGACAGATGGACAGCCCCCTGCCCCTCTCACCAAATTTCCCGGGAAGACTGGGCGGCATGGAGCAACTTTCCCTGGGGTGACTCCAGCTGTTCTCGCAGCATCTGGCACAAGCAGTGCTTGGTGTTGGTGTAGTGATTGTCATACTGCACGGCCTGGAAGAAGAACCAATATGAGCCCACCTGCTGCCCCCGAGGCGGAAGTGTGCTTGCAGCCTAGGTAGTGGGACCTCATTAGAGCCACCTGGCCATCTAATCTTCCAGGTAATGGTACAAAGCTCAAAGGTCACAGCCAAAGCCCCCAATCAGGAGCACTCCCTACTGGACAGCCTGTCTGAAGTCCAGATGTGCAGGGATCCCCTCTGGCGTCGGCCACCAGAGTAACCACAGAGGACCTGCTGCCAATCATCATGTAGGACAGGGCGGAAGAACAAGACAAATTCTGGTGTGGCAGGAAGAGCCCCAGGACAGGGTGGGATTCTTCTGTTCCTTATAACCATGGTAGATACCTTCCCTTCCCATAACTTCTTATTTTTATTTTACTTTATTGATATTTTTACAGAGAGGAAGGGAGAGGGGTAGAAAGCTAGAAACATCGATGAGAGAGAAACATTAACCAGCTGCCTCTTGCACACTCCTCACTGGGGATGTGCCCGCAACAAATGTACATGCCCTTGACCGGAATCGAACCTGGGACCTTCCAGTCCGCAGACCAATGCTCTATCCACTGAGCCAAACCAACTTCGGCCCTTCCCATATCTTAAATGGCCTGTCTCCAAGTTCTTCTACATGAGTCAAGTACAGCACCATCTACTCAGCATGTTCACGGGTGTTACTTGTCACTTCACTGAGCTATACAAGCATGAGGAGCAGCTGAAGCATTACTTCACAGGCCAGAGAGCATGCGTGAAGGGTATTACGGTCCTCCAGAGCCCCCTCTAACCCCTTGCCCACTACCCTTTCCTAATCACACGAGGCCTCTATCTTCAGTGCCATCACTCACTCGGGACAAAGCAGGGATATGTAGGTAAACCCCAGCGGGCCTTGACTCAGCTTACTTGGGACAGAAAACATCTGGCTGGACCAGAAACAGCCCTGCCTATGCTTGAAAGCCGCTCCCTTTCTCCAGGAAAACTAACTCTGTTTTGTTTTTTTTAACCTCACTCAAGAACATGCTTAGAGAAAGGAAGGGAGAGAAAGAGATTTTTTAAAAAATGATGTGAGAGAGAAACATCTATCAGTTGCCTTCCATATGTGCCCTGACCGGGGATCGAACCAGCAATGTTTCACTGCAAAGGACGATGCTCCAACCAACTGAGCCGCTCCGGCTGGGCAGCACAACAAACACTCTTGAAGATCTGCCACAGGTCAGGCTGAGCAGGAATGATAAAAGCAACTTTCACCCAGTGAGCAAGCTCAGCACAGCTGGACATGTCTTCCCTATTACAGACTTGCCAAAAGAGGCTAGACACCTGACGTGAGCTGAAGCGAGCCCCTGTGCCTCTGGTTGACCCAGGCCACTGGAGAGGGAGCAACGCAGCGGTGATCGTGAGAGGAAGGAAGAAGGCCCAATTTGGTCACCAACTGGCCTAACAGGACACCCAGAACCGAGGGAATGACAGCTGCAGCATCGAGCAAGGGAGGTTTGAGGACAGAGGCTGCCCAGCTCTGGGCAAGGGCCTCAGGGACTCCTATCATCCCCAGCCCTGGGGAGACCCCAAGCGATGTCAGCCACTGCTGCTAGGGCTTGAAGAGGACATAGGCAGTCTGCGGGTCTGAGAAGCTCCTGACCTTTCCAGGAGGGTGTGAGCCCCAGGATGGGAGAGGAGGGTGGAAGTCGGCTCTGGGTGACCGCGCAGGCCCAACTCACGGAAGGATGTGAGGACCATTCACTACCCCCACCTGTAGACACACACGGCTGACCATGGAGTCCTACAGAGTTCCAGGGGTGTGCCAAAGGGACAGGTAGGTGAACTTGTCAAAAAAAAAAAATTCCTTTAAGGGGAAATGCCCCTGGCACCGCCATCAAGCTCCCAGTGAGAAGAAATAGCTATTCCTTAAGGAGAGGGTTAACATCGGGTTATTCCCCTAAGTTAGGGGTTAAAGCATTCTGAGAATTAGCAAGAGAAGAGCTTTGAGTTTGACTGATGAAAGGTGACACATCTCTATGGAGATAATCAGACCTCAACAACAGCAGCTACTCCGGCTCCTCCCCTGCTGTGGCTACTCTGACGCCAACCCATTGGCATGGGTATCTCCGGTGACACAGACCCCGCTGTCATTGTGCAGGCATGTGTATGTGTGGGGTTGAAAATGAGAAAAAGGTCGTGTTTGGGGCCCCAAAGGCATCCTGGATCCAGAGGTCCCTGCTGTGACCCCACACCCTGGAAGCTTTAGAAGGAGGTCATTAGGGGTACGCCTGCCTGGCAATCCTTCTTCGTACTGCAGCCTGGGGACCAAAGGTGAGAAGAAAAGGAGAGGGACAAGAGGGGCTGCTGGCAGCTGGCGGCTCGGGGCTGACCCAGCGCGCTTTCTGCAGGAATGGGCAGACAGGGAGAAAGGTTTGTCTCAAAGAAGTGCAGAGACGTACGTATCGGATGTACTTCTGCATGACCTCCTCCAGGGGCCGCAGACCCTCCTTGAGGAAGATGGACGGGTTCCACATGGCAGCTCGGGCCACCATCACTGAAGAGGCTGCTGTAGCCTGTCGGAAATCCTCAATGTCCAAATAATCTTGGATGTGGTCGTGAGATCCTCCACTGAAAGGCAAAGGGGTTGAGGGGGGTAAGAGGGGGCCCCATCTTTGTCCCACCATTTTCAGAAAAAGGCAACTCCCAGGTCTGTCTCCCATTAACTGTGTGTGGCTCAGCTGTGAGCACCTGTGGAGCCTGGAGATTCACACACACACACACACACACACACACACACACACTGTGGGGTCAGGAGCACTAACTGAGATAATACAGGAAAGCAGCCCAAACTATGCCTGGCACTTAACAGGTATCCCTGAGATTTTACCTTCCTTCTACTTCATCCTGAACAGTGGCTAAAGCCAGCCCACATCTGAAGACATGGGTCTATAAGTGGACACTGAGATTACAGGAACCCCCACCCCCCAGGCTTGGGTACCTATATGCCCACTAAGGGCTGGGTCAAAAGCCTAGAGAGGGAGCAATGCAGTGATGATCGTGAGAGGAAGGAAGGAGGCCCCGTTTGGTTGCAATTTCCCTTCCTGCCACCGTGCAGCCCCAAGGGCCCCATTGTAAACTGCTGTCTTCATCTGTTCCATTAGGAGCCAGGCGGCAGCCTCAGTCCAGAAACAGCATTGTGTGTTTGTGGGGCGGGGGGGAGGGGAGGTGGGAGAAGCAGCAGTAAGAGGGTCCAGTGTCTTGAGTAGTCCTACCCTTTCCAGATCACTCCCAAAACTCTTGGCCTGGGAAAGGCTGGGCCTGGCTACTAATCCCACCCTTAGCTCTCTCCCTCCATCCCAACAGGCAGGCAGGCATGCCTTCTGTCGGGGCTTCAGGGCTTTGGAACTCCCTTGTTCCCATCCTGCCATCAGGTTCCATGCCATCCTGAGGTGTAGGGCTGCTCTGACTCCCCACTGGCCTCACAGGAGCAAATGGACACTGTCTGACTACTAAGTCTCTGGGTCGGTCTAGGTTCCAGGTCCTGTGGCTGCCCAGATTGCTTGTTTGGACTTTGGATTGTGATTGGCCTTATGAACCTTGAACCACCCAGGGTGGGCAAGAGTAGGTTTACAGTTATTTGTATGGAAAAATAATACAATAAGTAATAAATCATACAAGAATAAACTTTGTTTCATGTACTCCGGACTGAAAACCTATTTTGCCCCTGGATAGCTCTATGTGCTCTGACTTGGGCCTCCTCACCCTCCATCCTAACCCTGGTGTGACATCACCTTCCCCTGGGCTTGCTTCAGTGACCACCTCCTTGCTCTCCCTGTCCTCAACCCATCCATCAGAATGCCCTGATCCCTGCCTACTGCACACCTACATCAGCCACTCACCGGGAGCCAAGAAACATGACAGGCACTTGTCTGCCTCATAACCAACTTCATTGCTCATATCGTCCTTTCTCCCTTTCACTTAAGGTCAGACTTTGACGCTATCTCCTTCCCTTTTTATATGCCCGATCAAATCCCCTCCGAGTGAAGTGCGGCATGAAAACGTCAATGATGAGAAAGGGAGGCTTACTTGGCTATGACAGGAATGGAGAGGGTTTCGGCAATGGCTTTGATGGTTTCACAGCTGACAGGGTGTTGAGGTCGCTCCTCCCGCTTCCTTGGAGATAAACAAAAAATGACGGGCTGAGGGCTGAATGCCAAAGGTCAAGTCACAGTTCACCCAGGGTTACGTTAGTCAACACATTGTCCTCCCTCCTGAACCTCAGAAAGGTCATGTGACCATCACGGATAAGGTGTCCAGGCTGCGGTGGATGGCTCTCCATGACCTCTGTTGTGAGGGGCAGGAGCAGCACAGGTCTCTGCTGAGAAGGCAAGTCCAGCTCTCGGAGGCCTAAAGGTGAGGCATAGCTGCAGGGGACTGATGCAGAAGGCTGATGTGGGCGGCCTGACTCCAAAGGTCACTCCGCCTTTCCCTGGCTTCCTCTCACCTTGACCAGCGATGAGGGACAGTGCCATAAGCATGCTAACCCCGGTGAACTGGTCTTGCCCTCCCTGAAGGACTAGGTGCAGCTGCTGCTGTTCAGACTGGCCACTCCCACACAGCTGCCTGTGCTGAAGCCGAGTTGCACAGCTGATCCTGGGCAGAGGCACCTGGCCCAGGGTAGACCCAGCAGCCAGGGCAGACCGTGGCCGTCACGAGACACAGGGGAGGCAGCACCACAACCTAGGTCCCCTCCTCCTAGGGTCAGCTGCCAGAAGTTCGTGTGGATGAGATGAGACTTACAGATGCCGAGGTGAGCTCTGATTTAAGCTGTGCACAGGAACAAGAGAGAGAGGTGGTTGACCAGACAGCTCTTACCCAGATCTTGTCTGAGTGTGTCCCCTCTGCTACACTCAACCAAAGGGTCAGGGACCACAGGGCCTCAGAAAGCCCAGTTCAACCCAGCCTCTGCCTTCACCTTCCCACTCTCAGCAGCCAATGCTAGCCATCCTTAACAGCTTTCATGGCTAGAGTCCCTTCTTTTTTTTTTCCTTTTCTTTTTTGTAATTGTTTGACTCCACAAAAATCAGAAGGCACTAATGGACAGCCAACCCATCCCATGGTGCTCTGAGTGAAGACAAGTCAGCTTAGATATATGATGGACTAAAATCCCACTACTTAAGGCTGCAAGCAGTGAGAGGAACAGCCATCAGACAGAATCCCTTCTTATAGGTGCTGAAATCTCTCTCCATAGTGTTTCCAACTACTGGTAGAAAGGAGCCTTATAAAGCAGAAATATCTTAATTTTCAAATGCAGAGTATGGTACTCTGAGAGGTTAAATGATTTGTCTAAGGCTACACAGCCAACAAGCAGCAGAACTGGGATACACAGCCAACAAGCAGCAAACCACGCAGTCTGGCCCAGATGGAGTAGATGAATGGGTGAGTCACCCATGAACCAGGAGCTAACGGTTAGATTCCCAATCAGGGCACATGCCCAGGTTGGGGGTTCAATACCCAGCAGGAGGTGTGCAGGAGACAGCCAATCAATGATTCTCTGTCCTCGCTGTTGTTTCTATCCCTCTCTCCCTCCCCCTCCTTCCTCTCTCTGAAATCAATAAAAACCTTTTTTTTTTTTTTTTTTTTTTTTTAAAGAAAGAAAGAAAATTAAACCGAATCTTGCAGGTCACAGGTCTGCAGTCTGAGCCCAGAGCCTATTGCCTCAGGGTATATGAGGGGTATGGGATGGCCTTTCACCTCCCTCTACTGGCTTCTATCAATACAGCTCTGCTTTTCTATTTTATATGTTGGAGTTCTGGGTTCCATTTTCTGAAAATGCTAGAAGAGGCACAACCAGCAAAACATGAGCTGTTCCCTCAAGACCCCTGACCACAAAAGGACCATCACTCAGGGAAGAGAGGTCACTCTGGCCAAAGTCTACTGACCTGGGATTCTACCCAAAAGCACATCTTGGATAGAGGAAACAAGTTTGACTGGGAAACCCAGGGTAGCTTTCAGCAACACCTCAGCTCTCAGCAGACTGTGCATCAGCTACAGACACAAGGACTGTTTCAAGCAGTCACTGTGTCAGCTGGCAATCCAACGGGGGCAGACAAAAGAGGCAGCGCTTTGACAAGAACAGCGGTTGCTCAACATAATGGGAAGATGAGATTCAGAGTCAGAGTTCTAATTCCACCACTTCCTGGCTGCATGATGCAATTTTGGGCAAATCGTACCGTCTTTACCATTTACACGTCATGAGGGTAAGGGCACGTCTCCCTCCCCCTCCTCTCCCTGTCTCTAAAGCTCAGTGAAGTGCCTACACTAGTGGATGCTCAATGAATGAAAACAAAGGAAAACGCAAGCCCATACAGAGTTTGACCACCATCAGGATGTCAAAGAGCAAGGCAGAGGTAGGCTGCTTAGTAGAAGAGAACTTAGCTGTCACCTGGGGGGCTGGTGAAGAACCATTAAGATGGCTGAGGACCTTCCTACAAGTCAGTCACTAGAAAGGCAACCACTCACCTCCCATGAACTGCGATGGCGGCAATGCCAGTCCTCTCTATCCGCTTCACAAGGTTCAGGGTATCTTCCAGCTGAGGGAGAGGGCCACACAGGAAGGTTACTGAAGCCACAGAGGGGGCAGCTGCCAGCTCCCTCCTCCAAACCTAATTCAGCTCCTCAAAAATGACTGATACCCCAAAGAAACATCGCCCCCAAAAATGGACATTCAGATGTAACACACCATCCTTACCGATGGTAGGATGCGAATCTTGCAGGTCACAGGTCTGCTTGTCCCTTTAACAAGAGTGCTGAGGATCTGCAGAGAAAACACAGAGCATCTGCTCCTTCTGGCACACATAACCACAACATCTTATATTAATTACTTCTGGTACAGACCCGTGTATCCCAGTGGCATGGACATGGCTGTGTCCACATGGATGTCTGTTGCACACATACATGTAAGCTCCATGAAGGAAGGAGTCCACCTTCTTTTTATGCTAGCTCCTCGCTCCTCGCCTGGCACATAGGGGTATGTATACTATTTGGTAAATGAATGAATGAATGAATGAATGATGGACCTGCATGTATGCCTGTGAAGATTATAGTGATCCTTTGCCAGGGCAAACATGTGAGAGCGTAAGATCCCACCTGGTATTTCCTGAATGAGTTTACAGGGGTAGGGATGGGAATGTGTTTGTGTTTTTGTTTGTTTTTGTTTTTAAATATATTTTATTTACTCATTTTTTACAGAGAGGAAAGGAGAGGGATAGAGAGTTAGAAACATCGATGAGAGAGAATCATCGATCAGCTGCCTCTTTTACACCTCCCACTGGGGATGTGCCCACAACCCAGGTACATGCCTTTGACCGGAATCGAACCCAGGACCCCTCAGTCCGCAGGCCAATGCTCTATCCACTGAGCCAAACCAGTTTCGGCAGGAATGTGTGTTTTTAAAGGCTCTGCCCCAACACACTCCCTCCTCAATATGATGCTGAGGCCTAGTCCTGGTTGAGAACACGTGGCTCACAGCTTCTTTCCTGCTTGAAGGCAATGCTCCCTTAGTGCTGTTCTGAAGAGGGAGGGAGCAGGAAGGCTTGGGCCCTATACTCACGTACCCCGCTCTTTAGGGGAATCAGGTATACAGGAATGAAACTGGCAAAGGAGAAGATAACACAGTCAATATATATGTGTGTGTGTGCGTGTGTGTGTGCGTGTGTGTGTGTACACACATATATATTGTATGTGTATGTATATACATATATACATATACATGTATTGATTTACATATATGTGTAAATCATATGTATGTTTATATATGTACATATATATGTATTATATACATATATATAATACATATATATGTATATGTATTATATATATGTATACATATACATATATATTGATTTCAGAGAGGAAGGGAGAGGGGGAGAGAGAGAGAGAGAGAGAGAGAGAGAGATCAATGATGAGAGAGAATCATTGATCAGCTGCCTCCTACACGCCCCCCCACTACAGATCAAGCCCGCAACCCAGGCATGTGCCCTTGGCTGTAATTAAACCCAGGACCCTTCAGTCCACAGGCTGATGCTCTATCCACTGAGCCAAACCGGCCAGGGCAATAATCAACATATTAAAAGGTGTGGGGTTTTTTGCACAGTAATTGTAAAGAACTTGAAATAAAGATCAAGAAAATCATATAGGAAAGTGTCAGGGAGATAGCAAGACCAGACGTCATGCGAGTCAGAAAACGAGAGAGGGAGGTGACACTGCATGTCTGTGGCATTGCTATCCTAGTCCCTCACCAGCAATGTCGGGTCGGGCAAGCTGGAGGGAAGGTGGTCCGAGAGCCCTCTTCAAGAACTGGGTTGCCTTCAAGCAGAGCAGAGGGGACATGCAGGCAGCTGCTGCCAGTCTTGGTTCTAAACAGATGAGGGCAGCAGAGAGCCACGCTGCAGGAACCAGGCGAGGCCTTTTCTGAGAGACGGGATGAGGCAGGACCCTCAGAAGACATCAGACTAAGAGGCTGGGCTGACAGGCAGGACCCATCATGGGTAAGACAAGGCCTGCTGGCCCAGGTAAGACTGACGGGAACGACAGGAAAGAACAGGCCTCGTGTGCCGCCCCAGGAGGCAGACTGCGTCTGCGGTCCTGTTTTGCAGAGCTTCCTTTTGGTGTATTTTATCCAAGTGGCTCCAAGCACCTTCTTTAGTATTTATCTCATGTCCATGTTCGGGACCAGGAAAAGAAATTGGTAACCAAAAGCCCTAGCCACTTGCAAGGTTCACTCTGAGAGGAAAGGGCAGCCATAGTCTGCCTTCTGGCCAGGCGCTAGCATGAAACTCTCCCCGACCTCGCTCTCCCAGACCCCAGGGCTGCCCGGCTCTGGGACGTGAACGTCTGTGGGGAGAAGAGCCTACGACAGACCCATATGTGAGCACACTGCGGCACATCTCCTCACAGGAGGGCTCGTCTTACCAGAGCCACAGGGAGACTCAGGAATAGCTCCCTGGACTGTTGGGAGGAATGGGGGAGCGTAGACTTGGGAATCAGTGAGAACTAAGTTCAAGTCCTGGCCCAGCTGTTAGCTATGGCCCAAGTGCGGTGTGCACAGAGGGGATGCCCTGGGCAGCAGGGGAGGCGGGGCCAGGGAATCCTGAGCAAGGGTGAGAGAGAGGATATTATGGAATTAAGGTCTCAAACTGAGATTCTTAATCCAGGGAGGATACACCACAGTTACCTGGGAAGCTTTGTCGAAAGACTGATATCCCCTCACTGCCCCTATCCACTCAGCTACATGTCCCTAGCCCTGGGCTTTTATGGAACTCCTGGGCTGATGTACCTTGGCTCAGGAGTACCTGAACTTGACTGAATGTCAACATCACCAGGAAGCCTTTTACACACTTTCCAGACCCCGGGTGGAGTGATGGATGCACTAAATCAGGGGGAAGGGAGGGGAAAGCGTTCCGTGTTCAAGGACCTCTGCTTTCACTCATGCAGGACTTACCTTCTCGATCTTGTCAGGATCTGACAGCAGAGCAGCTCCCATTCCTCCCTAAGGAAAAGCACACAGAAGGGCTTCTTGCATTCGGAGGAGAGCAGCCCCTCCCCGTGGCATGGCAACGGGGCAGCACCCCAGCGTCTGCCTCCAAGGGACCAAGCTCCACTGGCGGCCAGCACTTTTCCTAAGCAAGTAGGAAGGCAGCAGCATCCATGCCCACAACACCAGGGACTAGTCTGATGAATTCTAATAGATATCACTCTGATCCCTTAGCATAAGCCACAGACGTATCTGAAATGGGGCCACACAAATAATGTTTCAGGACTGTCTAGTGCCTACCCAGGGTCTCGCTGTCTTAAGAAACGAAACCCCGCCATCTGTCAAGCCCTTTAAAAAAAAAAAAAAAAAAAAGGATCATTCTTGCTTTGAAATGAGAGTGAATGCCCCTTCTTCCCATCCTACCATCACTTGCTTTGGTGCCACCACTGCCGGCAAAGCCATTCAGAGACATGCAATCAGCACACGTTGTCCAGGCCCTCCTCCTCTGCCAGCAACAATGGCCAAGGACCCAGACCAATGTCAAACTCTAACAAAGCCCCAGCTAACAGCTCCAACAAACTATGGAGAGCCATAAAAATTCTGACATTAACAACAATGGGTGTCTCGTACTGCTGATTTTCCTGTTTTTTGTTTGTTTGTTGTTGTTGTTGTTGTTGTTGTTGTTTTTTGTGTGTGTGTGTGTGTACTTCTCTCTTATATTATCCAAGTTGTGGACAATGGCATGTCTTACTTTAATAATGAGGGCGGGGGGGGGGGGCATTAAAATCTGAACCCATTAAAAGTGAGGTGATAAAAAAAAAAAAAAAGTGAGGTGATGCCGAAACTGGTTTGGCTCAGTGGATATGCGTCAGCCTGCGGACTGAAGGGTTCTGGGTTCAATTCCGGTCAGAGCCACATACCTTGGTTGCGGGCACATCCCCAGTAGGGGGTGTGCAGGAGGCAGCTGATTGATGTTTCTCTCTCATCTATGTTTCTAACTCTCTATCCCTCTCTCTTCCTCTCTGTAAAAAATCAATAAAATATATATTTTTTTTTAAAGTGAGGTGAAGGGGAGAAAAACAAATTCAATAAATAGGCGCTGTCAGTATACAGACAGCACACTAACAAATGCTCACAGTCTGTGCTCAGGTTTATATTCAGTGATTACATGTTTAAAAGGATGACAGACTGGAATCAGAGAGAACGCTGGCCCGCCTGAGCTTGCATGACAAAGAAAAGTGAGAAGGGCAGAAGGGGACTGGCCCTGGCCGACCTTGGCCACAGACAGAGAACATAAAGGCTTTACGGAAGCCCTGTCCACACCCGGGCCCCATCTGGTCTTCAGCTCACACACAGTTCAGCCTTCCTTGTGGGATCACAGGCCCTCAAATGCAGCCTCACTGCCCCTTCCACAACAATGGCTTTCTCCATTGGCATTTCCTTCCTTCCTTCTTTTCTATTTAACTTATTGGCCTTTTTGAATAGGTAACACATTAAAATTTTTCAAGATTCAAAAGGGTAAAATGTAAGAACTCTCCCTCCCTTGAGGAATAGAAAAGTTTTCAATTTATACTTTTGATATAGTTTCAATTTTTGAACCATCAGAAGAGAGCAAATATTCAGGTGGTATGTACTGGTATAGCATATTGCTAACTATCTGTTCTGACTGGTCAATGCCAATGCTGTGTTAGTTGTTAATTTTTTTTTTTTATTGATTTTGTACAGAGAGGAAGTGAGAGAGATAGAGAGTTAGAAACATCGATGAGAGAGAGTCATCGATCAGCTGCCTCTTGCACACCCCCTACTGGGGATATGCCCGCAACTAAGGTACATGCCCTTGACCAGAATCGAACCTGGGTCCCTTCAGTCCCCAAGCCGACGCTCTTTCCATTGAGCCAAACTGGTCTCGGCTAATTGTTAATTATTTTGACTAGCACCCTGCAATGGGTTTTTTTTTAAAATATGTTTTTACTGATTTCACAGACAGGAAGAGAGAGGGAGATAGAAATATCAATGATGAGAGAGATCCTGTAACATGTGCCATGACCAGGAATCAAACCATAACCTTCTGGTTCATGGGTCAACACTCAATCACTGAGCCACATCAGCCCAGCCAATGGGAATTTAATCCCTGTACAAAACCACGTAAAAACTTAGTTTCCTTTCCTGGGAGAAATGAATGTTACTAGTTTCTTGTGTGTCTTTCCAAATATATTCTATGAAGAGAAAAGCAAATATATATAAACTAGAGGCCTGGTGCACAAAATTCAAGACCAACATCCTCCTGGCTGTCAGTCTTTCCTCCCTCTACCCCCACCATGCACTCTACTGCCCCACACCCAGTCCATCATGTGCAGCCAGGTCCTGTCTAATTCTGCTCCAGTTGGGCATCGCTTCTCTGTATTCTTGGGCTCTCCTGTGGACCCACGTCATTCATCTCCTATATCTCTGTCCCCACCTCTAGCCTTTTTCCACAGCAATCCATAAAACACATGGCTCCCAATATTTCTACTCATACAATGTATTTGGAAAAACACAACTAAGTTTCTGACCACATACCTTTCTGTTCACGAAAGGCCAGAGATACTGAAAATCCAAGGCCAACTACTCTTGTCCCAACCAAAATGTTTAATCCTGTGCTCCTTTCCCTCTTCATCTCCTACTCTCCAACTCTCTGGTCAAATCAAGGTTCTCTGCCTTCCTCATGTTGGCATCTAAGCCCCTGCTGTGCCCTTCCTTGTGCCTGCAGGGTCCCAAACCTCCTCCCCACGTTTTCCTGTAAAATCTCAAGTTTAAGCATTGCCCTCTGTTCCTTTCTGAGCTATACTAGCACTCTGGTCTGATCTTTTGATATAGCAATAGGGACACATATACTGCATCCTCTATTTTTTTTTTTTTTTTTTTTAAGTATGTCTTGCCAAAACCGGTTTGGCTCAGTGGATAGAGCGTCAGCCTGCGGACTGAAAGGTCCCGGGTTCGATTCCGGTCAGGGCATGTACCTTGGTTGTGGGCACATCCCCAGTGGGGGGGGTGCAAGAGGCAGCTGGTCGATGTTTCTCTCTCATCGACGTTTCTAGCTCTCTATCTCTCTCCCTTCCTCTCTGTAAAAAAATCAATAAAATGTTAAAAAATAAATAAATAAAAAAAGAATGTAGTTCTTAAAAAAAAAAAAAAATTATGTCTTGTCTGGAGTGTGGCTCAGTAGTTTGAGCACCTACCCATGAACCAGGTCACACAGTTCAATTCCAGGTCAGGGCACAAGCCTGGGTTATGGGCTTGATCCCCCACTAGGGGGTGTGCAGGAGGCAGCTAATCAATGATTTTCTTTCATCATTAATGTTTCTGTCCCTCTCTCCCTCTCCATTCCTTTCTCTGAAATCAATAAAAACATATTTTAAAAAGAAAGAAAAAAAGATATATATATATATATATATATGTATGTATGTCTTGGTGTTATTAATGAAAAGACAAAGCCCCGTTCACATTATTTTTTCTTTTAACACATATCACTTAAAACAAATGGGCATAAGTACTCTGTCTGTATGTATGTGTTTATGTGTATATGTGTATGTATATATCTAGATGTATGCGTATATAACATTTTTCCGGAATCATTTGAGGGTAAATACATATATGATAGCCCTTGTCCCCTAAATATTTTGCTGTGTATTTTATCATAGGAATATTCTTACAAAACTGAAGAGTTAACTATATAAATTTATAATTGCTGTTGTTGTTGTTGTTGTTGTTAATCCTCACCCAAGGATATTTTTCCATTGATTTAGTTATTTATTTTGTAAGGGAGAGTGGCAAGACAGAGAGGAACATCGATTTGAGAGAAACACATGGATTGGTTGCCTCCTCAACTCCTGCCCCTGACCAGGGCCAGGGCCCGGGCCAAGGAATCTGCAACCAAGCTACGTGCCCTTGACCAGAATTGAACCCGGGACCCTTTGATCCACAGACTGATGCTCTATCCACTGAGCCAAACTGGTTAAGATTATATAAATTTATATTGATACAGTATTTTTAGCTAATCTACCGTGGTTCATATTCCAATTTTGCCCATCGATCTAATAATATCCCCTTGAGCATTTTCCCATCTAGTACGGGATCTAGTCCAGAGTCAGGTACTGAACTTAGTTGTCATGTCTCATTAGTCCTCTTTAATCTGCACCCTATATTTGGGAAGAGTATAAAGAACTCAGCTTGCCGAAACCGGTTTGGTACATTGATAGAGCGTCGGCTTGGGGACTGAAGGGTCCCGGGTTCGATTCCAGTCAAGGGCATGTACCTTGGTTGCGGGCACATCCCCAATAGGGGATGTGCAAGAGGCAGCTGATCAATTGCTCTCTCTCATCAATGTTTCTAACTGTCTCTTTCCCTTCCTCTCTGTACAAAATCAATAAAATATATTAAAAAAAAAGAAGAACAACAACAACAACAACAACAACAACAACAACAACAACAACTCAGCTTACCTTGGTGGAATATTCTTTTGGACAGCCCATATTAACGTCGATACCAGCCACATCGTTTTCTCTGGAAAAACATGAAGTAGAAAAGGTAGTAAATATTCAACCTAAGGAAAGAAGGTAATCAAAGGCATGGATCTGTGCTCATGAATCCCTTACCATGTCCCTGGCCCTGGAACACACCAACCCTCAGTGTCAGAAGCTGAAAAATCTTATCTCTAAAATGTGCGACTGCCTCCCTGAAGCAGAGCTCAAAAGGCATGGCATAATGCGGCCACACTTGTACAAAGAGCTGGTTGTAGAGGACTCTGCTACTTCGGAGTTCTATCAGATAACAAATACTGAGTGACCCTTGCACAGAGTCCCAGTTCTCACTGGGGTAATGAAAGCCATGTGTCCATGCACAAAAGTGACATGAGTATGAGAGCCCTTGCCCAGAGCACTGATCCTGGTGGAAGTTACAGGACTGCCTTTGTTGGCTGGGTCACGCAATTGGCTCGCTCCAAACAGTTCTCAGATGTAGAAAGGACCCTTACCTCATCTTCTGGTATGTACACAGTTAACAGGCTGGGATTCGGCAGCAATTATTGTGTGAGTTCCTTCTCACCCTCACTGTAATCAATAACAATAACTAATACTAGACACTCACAATGTGCTACACACCGCAAAGCTTTGTGTGCCTGATCTCATTTTCCCACCTCGAATGCCAGACGTAAGTAATACTATTGGTCTCCTTTTGCAGATGAGGAAACTAAGTTCCCAGCAAGGTTACCTAAGGTCACGCAGTTAGCAAGTAGCAAAGCCAGAATTCCAAGCCAGGCCCATCTAACTCATTGGCTAAGAGTCTCCTGCCTTTGTTAATTTAGGAAGCAATAAGTCTAACCAACACTTCACGAGATTTAAAACCTCAGGGCTCATCGTCATAAGAGTCCTTGGAGAGGGAGCCTCATGAACAAAAACTGAAGAACAGGCACCCACTAAGAGGTTATTTGGGATCTGGGCACAGTTGGTACACACGAATCCAGGAGCAGCCCTCAGATACCACAAACAGAGAAAGAATCTAGACAGGACACAGAAGTTAGTGAACTAGCAGGTAGAAGGGTAGTCACCTCCTACATCACCAGGAATAGTGAGGCTTCACAGGAGAGCAAAGATAGTTCCAAAGAGGGAAGAACTTACACAAGTCTGGCCACAGCAAGGGCTCGCTCTGCATCTGAAGTCCCCTGGGAACACAAATGGCTGTATCAACCACCACCCTGACACGGGCACACAAGCACAGGCAAACACATCCATGCACACACATATCAACAAGTGCAGTCCAGCCGGTGTCTCTTAAACAACCAGTCCACTACACTAGCTCACTGTCCAAGGCCAAACGGGGACCTAGATGGCCTAGCAAATGTCATCAGTGCTTTGATTACTTTCAAATGTACAAAATAGTTGCAAAAAAAATGTATAGTGAACAATCATATACTCATCACTTAGATTCTATAAATAATATTGTGTATATTTGCTTTTTCATATGTTTACTCATTGTTGTCAATTTTTTTTAAAAAATGCAACTCAGGAGCTATTCTAAAAAAAATCACCAAGAAATGCAAAGTGAGAAAAGAGAGCTACAGATTCATCACAACCCTAACATAAATAGAAACTACTTGAAAATCTAATTTCTTTCTATGGGAAATACATACAGACTACACAAAAACAAAACTAATGGTAGGGATTAAAAATATGTAAGTTATGCCAAACAAGTAATTCCTATAATTACGGACATTAAATTTGAGACCGGAGACATAAAACAGACTGCTATAGCTTGATTTCCATAAACTATCTCCAACAGCGTATCATTCATGAGCAGATCTTTGAAAAATGTCTTCGGGAAGCCACCACTGTGCACTGAAGCCCAGGCATCTAACACAGGCCCGGCTCAGGGCATGAGATGGCAAATTTGGGAGAGAGGTGGGGTCTGGGATCTCGTACCATCTGGAAGACGACCTTGCTCTGTTCTCTTTGGCAGGTGCGGAATACCACTCGGTCATCGGGGGCCACAAAGTCCACAGTGCTGAGCACTTCTGCAGGAAAACACAAACACACAGGCCCACCCACTGAGGCAGCAAGTTCAACCTAGCCTAATCTCTGCAAGAAAACACAGCAAAAGTCTCAGCTTAAAGGGAAAAAAAGGGAGCTAGAAGTACAACATTCTTAAAAGAAATCAGTATGCTCTTGGGAGGCTTCTGAGGGGCTAATGATGTTCTATTTTCTGACCTGGGTGATGGCTAGTTAGATGGTTGTTTGTTTTACAGTTATTTGTTATTTGTTATTTTTTAAAATATATTTTATTGCCAAAGCCGGTTTGGCTCAGTGGTAGAGCGTCGGTCTGCGGACTGAAAGGTCCCAGGTTCGATTCCGGTCAAGGGCACGTACCTTGGTTGCGGGCACATCCAGGTAGGGGGTGTGCAGGAGGCAGCTGGTCGATGTTTCTCTCTCATCGACATTTCTAGCTCTCTATCTCTCTCCCTTTCTCTCTGTTAAAAATCAATAAAATATGTTTTTTTAAAAATAAAATATATTTTATTGATTTTTCAGAGAGGAATTGAGAGGGACAGAGAGTTAGAAACATCGATGAGAGAGAATCATTGATCAGCTGCCTCCTGCTCACCCACCACTGGGGATGTGCCTTCAATCAAGGTACATGCCCTTGACCAGAATCGAAACCGGGACCTTTCAGTCCGCAGACCAACGCTCTACCACTGAGCCAAACCAGTCCCGGCCGTTTTACAGTTATTTTTTAAATTGCATGCCTGTGTTTTCTGAACTTTCTCTGTCTGGTTGTTAACATTTTGCAATTTTAAAACACTGAAAAAATAATGTGGATATAGAGCACCTTGTCAGAGCTTCCGGTTTTAACCCAAATTTCTCAGAAGATGTCACTCTGAAGTTCAGCAAAGTTGCTGTTTCTTAGTTCCTTATCAGGTGCCAGATACTGTGAGTGGAGATTTAGTATATTACAGTCAACCCCTATTTTTTTGCAGTTGTGTATTTGAAAATACACCTGTTCGCTAAGATTTATTTGTAATCCAAAAATCAATACTCATGGCTTTTTCGTTGTCGTTCTCAGACATTCATAGACTTACAGAAAAATTCAGTCACCCGATGTACATGTTCTCAGCTGAGGTCAAACAAGGCCACTCTGCCTTTTTTTTTTTTTTTTTTTTTAACTGTTGTTGTTTGTTTTAAATATGTTTTTATTGACATTAGAGAGAGTAAGAGAAAGGGATAGAGAGATGGAAACATCGATCAGCTGCCTCCTGCATGCTTCCTATTGGGGATCAAGCCCGCAACCCAGGCATGTGCCCTGACTGGGAATCAAACTGTTGACCTCTTGGTTCACGGGTTGACATTCAACCACTGAACCACACCAGCTGGGCCACTATGCTTTCTTGTTTCAGTTCTATTATCGTACACAAGTGTCTTTATGGTGGTATATTTAATGCCACATTTTTGCTGGCAATCTCATTGTTTTAAATGGCCCCAAGGGTAGAGAAAGGCTGTGATGTGCCTTGCAGAGAAAACACATGTCAGAGAAGCTTTGTTCAGACATGGAATTATAGTGCTGTTGGCTGTGAGTTCATTGTTAATGGGTCAACAGAATATATTCAATTACGTGTTTTTAAACAGAAGCACACATACTAGAAAAACAAGATTATGTGTTGATCCGTTAATGAAAATGTGGTCCCCAGAGATCTGCAGGAACCTAAACCCATACAGATATACCTTGGAGATATTAGAGGTTCATTACCAGACCATCATGAAAAGTAAATACCTCAATAAGACAAGCCACAAATTTTTTGGTTTCCCAGTGCATGAGGAAATTCTGTTTATACTATAGTCTATTGAGTATACAATAGCATTATATCTAAAAAAAAAAAAAAAATGTAGATACCGCCCTGGCCACTTTGGCTCGGTGGATAGAGCATCAGCCTGCGGACTAAAGGGTCCCGGGTTTGATTCCAATCAAGGACACATGCCTGGGTTGTAGGCTTGATCCCTGGTGGGGGGCGTGCAGGAGGCAGCCAATCAATGATTCTCATTATTGATGTTTCTGTCACTCTCTCACTCTTCCTTCCTCTCTGAAATCAATAAAAATATATTTTAAAAATAAATAAATAAATAAAATGTAGATACCTTAATTTTAAAATACTTTAAAAATATATTTTATTGATTTTTTACAGAGAGGAAGAGAGAAGGATAGAGAGCTAGAAACATTGATGAGAGAAAAACATCAATCAGCTGCCTCCTGCACACTCTCCACTGGGGATGTGACCGCCACCAAGATACATGCCGTTGGCCGGAATCGAACCCGGGACCCTTCAATCCGCAGGCCAACGCTCCATCCACTGAGCCAAACCGGTCTCGGCTTAATTTAAAAATTTTTTGTTGCACTCTAACTGGTTTGGCTCAGTGGATAGAGGGTCAGCCTGAACTGAAAAGTTCAATTCTGGTCAAGGGCACATGCCCGGGTTTCAGACTTGATCCCCAGTAGGGGGCGTGCAAGAGGTGGCCAATCAATGATTCTCTCTAATCATTCATGTTTCTCTCTCTTCCTCTCCTTTTCTCTCTGAGATCAATAAAAATATATTAAAAATAAATAAATAAATAAATAAATAACATTTAAAAAAATATATTTTGTTGCTAAGAAAACACTAACCATCATCAGAAGTTGTTGGAAAAATGGCACCAATAGACTTACTGAATGCAGGGTTGCCACAAACCTTCATTTGTAAAAAAACAGTACAATAAAATGAGATATGCCTATATTTCCCCTAGGAGCAATGGTACGATATTCACAAACTTGCTGATTACAGCAACTTCACAGAACATAACAAATGCAAATAATACTCTCATAAGATCTTCATAACAAAGCTCTCCAACAGGTGTTACCATAACTAGCTTTCTTTTTTTCTTTCTCGTAATTAGCTTTCAAAGATAACTAACAGCACATGGAAGAGATCCAACGTGGCAGATGGGAGAATATGCCTACCTCATGCATTTATTTTGAGGAATAAGTGAGATCTTCAATGCAAACAATGCACTTCCATAAATAGAAGCTATTATTATCATCCCAGCACTGAACAGATTAGGAGATTAAAAAGGTGGGGTAAAGGCAGTGACATGTTGGGAGAGGTAATCAATACAATCTCCAGCAGCAAAAAAAAAAAAAAATCTCCAGCAGCAGAGACAGCTCATCACTGACAGTAAGAAGTCTGAGAGAAGAACCGAAAAAACTTAGTGTGGGCCCTGAATGGGTGGCTCAGTTGGTTGGAGGGTCATCCCACACACCAAAAGGATCGCAGGTTCAATTCCCTGCCAGGGTACATACCTAAGTTGCAGGTTCGATCCCTGGTCAGGGTGTGTATGGGAGGCAACCAATCAATGTTTCTCACATAGATGTTTCTCAAATAAGTGTTTCAAAAAAACATATCCTCCAGTGAAGATTAAAAAGATATTTTAACAACAACAACAAAAACTTAGTGTGTACTAGTATAGAGTTCTATTTATTTATAACAGCAAAATACTGACATCCCTGCTAAAGCACTGTGAAAATCAATTCTGACATAATTGTCTGTAAGTACTGACATGGGAAAATATCCTAGGAAAAAAGTAAATGGCAAAACAAGTAGCATGATACTGAGGGAGAGAGAAAGGAGATATACAAACACGTTATATTTTCATATTCATGTTTTACTAAATGTGTATTAAAAAGTATACATTTCTTCTCTTTGTGATCACCTTTACAAGTATGAGATTATGGAAGATTTTCATTTTCTACATCTGTAACACTGAATTTTTCACAGCTCAAGGAAAATATAAATCTAAAACAATTAAAGACAAAATTGAGTCACAACTTCTAGCGAACTTATATTAAAATCTGACGAATGTGGCCGAAACCAGTTTGGCTCAGTGGTAGAGCGTCGGTCTGCGGACTGAAAGGTCCCGGGTTCGATTCCAGTCAAGGGCATGTACCTTGGTTGCGGGCACATCCCCGGTAGGGGGTGTGCAAGAGGCAGCTGGTCGATGTTACTCTCTCATCGACATTTCTAGCTCTCTATCTCTCTCCCTTCCTCTCCGTAAAAAATCAATAAAATATATTAAAAAAAAAAATCTGACGAATGTGTATCCATTTCAAAAACCTCAAACAATACCACAACTCTAATCAAAGCAGAATTAGTCTCATCAATAAAACATAAGCAAAACCACAATTCAGCACAACCACTTTCATTTGCAAAGTACTGACATGTACCTCAGCTTATTTGATCCTCACACTCCAATCCCGTTTTAAGAAAAACAGGAATTATGATTTTCATTTTACAGCTAAAGACACTGAGGCAGGGAGGTCATGTGAGTAGGCTGAGGTCATGTGACTTGCCCAAGGTCACACAGCTAGCAAGTAGCATGTCCATCTCAACTCCTAGGGTCCTTCCTGTGCTGGCAGTTTCAATGCCAACAAGCCTATGGGTGGAAGGCATTCTTATCTGGCTCTTTGCAGGGTCTCTGGAGAGCAGTGACTGCTCTCAAAGAAACACATGATCCACAAAATTACACAGCCAGGCAAGAAGCCTAGAAGGACCCTGTCACACAAACAAGGGGAGTGATAGCACGGCTTGGTTCTGACAGGGCACACACACAATCCTGGGACCAGAGCGGCACTCACCATTGACAACTCTCTTGCACTGGAGCATCTTGAGGTCGATTAGCTCCTACGGAGGAATCAGAGGGAACTTGTCAGTCTCCTCCAACAGGCCCCGGGCACTGGGGGAGGGCTTTCACTGACACACATCTTGGAGGTGACTTGGCCTGTCACCCTACTACCAGCAAATCATGGCTTTTGGGACATATAGTCTGAGGTCCCACCCAAGCCAGGCAAGCAGGGGCCTGAATGAGCTTCCCTCAATCAGCTGCTCTTCCCAAGGACCTTGGAGATATTTGGGGCCTAGGAAAGGAGCCAGAGAGAATACAACAGCTCAGGAATGTGGACACCTGAGCCTCTTACGAACACTGCCTTCTGGCCCAGCAAGGGTTGCTCAGTGGTTAAAGGTCGGTCTATGAACCCAGAGGTCTCAGTTTGATTCTGGGTCAGGGCACACACCCGGGTTTCAGGCTCCATGCCCAGTGGGGGGCATACAGGAGGTAGCTGATCAATAATTCTCTCTGATCATTGATGTTTCTAGCTCTCTCTCCCTCTCTTTCTTCTATGAAATCAATAAAAATGTTTTTTTAAAAAGAACATTGCCTTCTCCCTTGATCTTACTTATTAAAAGGTATAGGTCCAACAGGTAAGTGTCCCCTCACAGTCTGAGCCACTGAAGTCTCCCTGTTCTTATAAAAAGGAATAGAAACATGATGTCTGAGGAACTACTGGAAAACTATCAATAGGGCAGACCTTGCTGGGGGATCAAATTACTGGTCCCTAGACTTTTGCTGAGCTGCTTCATCCTTTCTTCACCTCTTTCTGCTGAGGGCTTTTCAGGGCTTTTGAGGAGGTTTCTGCATGCCTGGAATTAGGTACACCCTAAGTCCCATACCCAGTCCTGTGAGGTGGGTGGGGTGGTTTGACTATCTGATCACACAGATAGGCCACCTCATGTGAACCCAGTTAAAATCATCCAGGCAGCCCTAACTGGTTTGGCTCAGTGGATGGAGCATCGGCCGGCAGACTGAAAGGTCCCAGGTTCGATTCCGGTCAAGGGTGTGTACCTTGATTGCAGGCACATCCCCAGTAGGAGGAGTGCAGGAGGCAGCTGATCGATGTTTCTCTATCATCGATGTTTCTATCTCTCTATCCCTCTCCCTTCCTCTCTGTAAAAAAAAAAAATAAATTAAATATATATTAAAAAAAAAAAAAAAAAAAAGATCATCCAGGCAGCTAATACAGTACAATAATCCTGGCCTGCAGAGCAGCTCTGAATCCACACGAGGGCACCAGGCATCACATTGTGTCATGCCCAGTGCTTAGGGCCCAGCCGGTCACACACAAAACAGGGATCTGTCTCCTGCCTCTGCTCTGCACAGGGGCTGGGGCTGGGTGGAGGGTTCAGGTCTCCTCCAGCAGAAGCCCCTTTGTTCATAAGCCATATTGACTCTTCCAGAGCATGAGCACATCAAACACGCCAAAGAGCCAGGTCACCTATTTCCTGCGCAGCCCTGCTCCCACCGCCCAGCTTCCATGATTCATTTCATCGGGGCCATAAACACAGAGCCGCTCCTCTAGAACAGGCCCTGTGCCACAGTGCAATCACTCGCTTCCTTCCTGGTGTTTCATTCCACACATCTCCAAGGGAATACAAGCCCACTTTCTAGAGTCCCAGGAAAATGCTGCCTGCACAGAAAAAGTGAAAGCCCAAGGATAACACCTTACAAAAATATAGTATAGCCAAAACCGGTTTGGCTCAGTGGATAGAGCATCGGCCCATGGACTCAAGGGTCCCAGATTCAATTCCGGTCGGGGGCATGTGCCTCGGTTTTTGGCACATCTCAGTGGGAGGTGTGCAAGAGGCAGCTGATTGATGTTTCTCTCTCATTGATATTTCTAGCTTTCTCCCTCTCCCTTCTCTGTAAAAAAATCAATAAAATATATTTTTTTAAAAAGCACTTGAGAGCCAAAACCGGTTTGGCTCAGTGGGTAGAGCATCAGCCTGCGGACTGAATGGTCCCGGGTTCGATTCCGGTCAAGGGCATGTACTTGGTTGCAGGCACATCCCCAGTAGGAGGTGTGCAAGAGGCAGCTGATCGATGATTCTCTCTCATTGATGTTTCTAACTCTCTATCCCTCTCTCTTCCTCTCTGTAAAAAAATCAATAAAATATATTTAAAAAAAAAAAAAAAAAGCACTTGAGAGACATATCAGGATTGGGGTTAGGGAGAAGCTGCCTTGATCAGCAATCGCCAACTGGTGGTCTGTGAATTCCAAAAGGTTGGTGACACTGGCCTAGATCATTCTTGATACGTACCCGGTTGAAAACCACTGCTCATACTTATTCATAATCCAGTATCCTGTCATTCTATTTTTCCTAGCAGATGCTTTCTAAACCTGGGTGTGAAGTCCTAATATTCTCTGGAGCTGTCAGCAATTAGCTGGTCCACTAGCTACCACCACCAGAAAATCCTACGGCTCCTCAAACCAGTCTCATCCAGCTTTCCTGGCCTGAATCTGGGCCTCTTCCTCCTCCTCTTCTTAACGTGGAGTTCATTCATTCACGCACTGAATGTATATTAGATCCTACAGGGGCCCAGGCAGTGACCTGACATGATGCTCATCCATCCACCTGGACCTCCATGCTACCCAGGCTGCTGGCCCTAAGCAGGGTTCGTAGAATTTATAAATATCGAGGGTCTTTGTCCTCTGTTGCCTTCACTGAGCACCTGTGAAGTCAATGCCCACTCTGCCAACCCCCCACCCATAGGTGGGGAGGAAAAGCTCTCTGGGAAAATCAGTGGCCCCTTACCTCACAGTACACAATGTCTGCTCCATAGTCCAGGGCCAGCAGCCGCATCGGGAGAGTCCCCACTCGAACCATAGGTGCCAAGATGTGTTTGTTGTGGTAGCACAGCGAGAGGCTGTTCACCATCATTCCTCTTCTGCTCCAGCCTGAAGGAAGGGAAAACAAGGGTCAGAAACTCAAATGGAGTAAATCTCTTCTATTGTCCTGGGCTGCCTTTCCTTCTTCCTTCCAATCAACATGTGCTACCTTTTCCTTCCCTCTGATCATAAAAGAACCCATGCTCATTCATTCATCCAATAAATAGTTATCAAGTGCCTAGTCTGTGCCAGACACTCTAGTCTTTGGAGATGCATTTGCAGTATTTCCCAAAGTGTGGTACACGTACCCCCAGGGGTATGGAAAGAGTATGGTGGGGGTACGCATTGCACTGGAGTTTGGTGGGGATATGCACTGCACCGTGCTTACATGCGCCTAATTCTACGTTCTCATGAGTACGAGGGATACTCAGCGTTAGGAAAATTATAGAAGGGGTACACATATGTCAAAAGTTTGGGAAACACTGCATTAGAAAATAAGACAGACAAAAATTCCTGCTCTGGCCGGGACCGGTTTGGCTCAATGGATAGAGCGTCGGCTTGGGGACTGAAAGGTCCCGGGTTCGATTCCGGTCAAGGGCATGTACCTTGGTTGCGGGCATATCCCCAGTAGGGGGTGTGCAAGAGGCAGCTGATCGATGACTCTCTCTCATCGATGTTTCTGACTCTCTATCTCTCTCCCTTCCTCTCTGTACAAAATCAATAAAATATATATATATATATATATATAAAAAAAAAAAAAAAAAATCCTGCTCTGGTAAAGCTTTTAATTTAGTTAGGGAACACGGGCAAAAAACAAACAAACAAAAAAAAAAACCAAGCATAACAAATAAGTAAATTAAAATATGATGGAAATTTGGTATAGTGGGCCCTCTGTGCCATGGGTTTCACATCCATGGATTCAACCAATCACAGATCGAAAACAAGCAGAAAAACCCTAGCCAGTGTGGTTCAGTGGTTGGGCGTTGCCCTGATCACCAAAGGTTACAGGTTCAATTCAGGGTCAGAGCACATGCCCAGGTTATAGGCTTGATCCCTATGCAGGAGGCAACCAATCAATGATTCTCTCTCATCATTGATGTTTCTATCTCTCCCCCTCTCCCTTCCTCTCTGAAATAAAAAATATACATTTTTTAAATATATATACAAATTTAGAGTTAGAATTAAATATTTAGAGAATATCCTATTTCCCACTCAAAGCATATGTTAACGAGAAAAAATTAAAATGATCCATCATATTTGTAAGAGAAAGAGGCAATATAGCATATAGTTAATATTCTGAACTCTGGAATCAGACAGACCTGCATGGGAATCTGCCCCCAGACATCGAGGCTAGCTTCTCCTCTGGAATATGAGGCTCCAACAGAATCTATGTTGGGGGGGAGGGAGATGCTATAAAGAGCACATTCTACCTGGCCGATCTGGCTCAGTGGTTAGAGCATCGGCCCATGGACCAAAGGGTCTGGAGTTTGATTTCCAGTCAAGAGCATGTACCTGGATTGCAGGCTCCATCCCCAGCCTGGGGTTGAGGTGTGTGTGGAAGGCAACCAATCATTGTGTCTCTCCCACACCGATGTGCCTGCTACAGATTGTGGGGATGGTCCAGGGCCAGAACAAGAGTTTGCAAAGGCTAATGAGCCTACCTGAAGTGAGAATACATGTGGTAACCTCAGCCTCTCTCCAATCCTCATCCTCTAGGCAGGGTTTTTCAACAGCAAATTTGTCATTTTAGGCCAGATAATCCTTTTTTATGGGGGCTGTCCTATGCATTGCACAATGTTTAGCAGCGTCCCTGGCCTCTGCCCACTAGATAGATGCCAGGAGCACCTCCCCCAATGTGACAACTAAAAATGTCTCCTGACAGTGTCAAAAAAGAGTAGGGAGATGACAGAAGTAAAATTAGTGGAAGTAAAATGAATGACTGTTCACTGTCACTCCTCAAAGCTCTCTCCTCCACTGGTTTAACAGGTAACTCTCCAGAAACTCTACTCATGTACCAAAATGATCTTTTTAATTGTATTTTATGAAACTAAAACACTTTCTCCAGATGTTAAAAACCTTCCAGGTGGCCTGGTGGGCGTGTCTCAGTGGTTGACCGTGGACCTATGAACCAGGAGGTCAAGGATCGATTTCCTGGCAGGGCACATGCTCACCTTGCGGGGCTTGATCCCCAGTGAGGGGTGTGCAGGAGGCAGTCGATCTATGATTCTCTCTCATCATTGATGTTTTTCTCTTTCTCTCCTTCTCCCTTCCTCACTGAAATCAATAAAAATATTTTTTTTGAAAAGAACCTCTCAGGTGATTAATACACATTTACCTTATCTTCCACCCCAGGCAGTGGGGACTACAGAACAGATAACACCCATTTTCCAGCTCTATTCAGGAAGTATGGCGAGTATAAGGTATTTTTGCAACCTGAACATCTGAACGTAAGTAAAATATTCTGCCCGACCAGAGCTATGTGAGACAAGCCACATACCTGATCACTCTGTAGGGGTAGCAGGATCCTCCTCACTACTATTCAAGTAATTTACGTATCTGGGAAGCCAGGGGAGGTCAGCTGACTGCAAAAGTTGGTTGGTGATGACAGTGGAGTGGAGTGTAAACCTCAGCTGAAAAGAGAAAACGTGCGAAGCAATGAGCCCGCTGACATAAAGCCTGAAGACCTTCACTGCGACAATAAGCTGAAGGCTATCAGCTTGCCTTCTGGGAATCTCCGTTCGGGGTGCAGTTCGGGTGAGGTTTAGCCTCGATCTGCAACTGGCCCTTGTCTCGGCTCCCAGGCCTGGCCATTCATTCAAGACTCTCAGCAAACACTGGTTGCCAGACCTCAAGCGGGGACCATCGCCACACCTTCCAGTTTACCGGGGGAACCAGCACTGGACAAGCCAACAACCCGGCGGTGAGAGTAATCGAGGAGAATGGCAGGGATTAGACACCCAGTCACGAAAAGCCCTCCGCCCTCCTGGTCCCTCAGGCCACGGCCCGGTCGCCGCGTATCGTCGGACCTCCCAGTCCTGCCTCCATGGCGCACCCTTCCCCAAGGCTGGCCCGGTTCTGGACGTCGCCAACCCCTGGTCGGAACTACAGACCTCGCTGCTGCTGCTGAACTCTATGGATGCTCCCTCCTTCCTCAGGGTTCTCCAATTCCGCGTGCCTTCCTGAGCCTCGCCGGCCACCGTCCGTGGGGCGTGGCGCGCCCATGACGTCACTGTCGTGCGCCTCTCCGGCGCCACACACACACACACACAAGAAAAATGGCTCTAACGCGGCCTCCGCGGCTCTCGCTGCTTGCGGCTCAGTGGTTTCTGGCGCCCCGACGGAACCTGACGACGGCTAGCGGTCCCGACGAGCCCCTGCCCGTGGTGCGCATCCCGCGAGCTCTCCAGCGGCTGCAGGAGCAGCGGAAGGGCTCGCGGCGGAGCTCCACGCGACCGGCGCTGGTGCGCCCCGGCCGGCTGCTGATCTCGGCGCGGCGGCCGGAGTTTAACCAGCCGGCGCGCCTCACGCTGGGTCGTTGGGAGACGGCGCCCCTCGCCTCGCGGGGCTGGAAGCACCGGCGCTCCCGCTCGGATCACTTCTCCATCGAGCGCGCGCAACACGAGACGCCAGCCTTGCGGAACCGCTTGTCGTGCGAGGACAGCTTCGCGGACCTGGGTCTGCTGCCGCGGGTACTGCAGGCGCTGCAGGAGGTGGCCCCCGAAGTCGTTCGGCCCACCACGGTGCAGTCGAGCGCCATCCCCCCGATACTGAGAGGCCGCCACATCCTCTGCGCAGCGGAAACAGGCAGTGGCAAGACTCTCAGTTATCTGCTGCCTCTCTTTCAACAGCTCTTGGGCCGACCACGCCTGGACTCCGGCAGTGTCCCTGCTCCCCGAGGTCTGGTCCTGGTGCCTTCGCGAGAATTAGCCCAGCAGGTGCAGGCTGTGGCCCTGCCCCTAGGCAGGTCCTTGGGACTCCAGGTGCAGGAGTTAGAGGGAGGCCGTGGCATGAGTAGGGTCACGAAGCAACTGTCTAGGCAGCCTCCGGCTGATATGCTAGTAGCCACTCCGGGGGCTTTGTGGAAGGCTCTGAAACGTAAACTGATCAACCTAGACCGGCTGTCCTTCTTGGTATTGGATGAGGCAGATACCCTATTGGATGAAAGTTTCCTGGAACTCGTGGAGTACATCTTGGGGAGGAGCAATATAGCAGAAGGCTCAGATGACTTAAAAGACCCCTTCAATCCCAAAGCTCAGTTGGTGCTGGTAGGGGCTACATTTCCCAAAAGTGCAGGTCAGCTGCTGAGTAAAATCTCTGACTCGGACTCTCTAACCACCATCACCAGCCCCAAGCTCCATTGCATCATGCCTCATGTCAAACAGATGTTTATGAGACTGAAGGGAGCAGAGAAGGTCCCTGAGCTGGTGCAGATCCTCAAGAAGCACGACAGAGCAGATAAGACTGGCTCCTCGGGAACTGTGTTGGTGTTCTGTAACAGCTCCAGCACTGTGAACTGGCTGGGATACATTCTGGATGACCACAAAATCCAGCACCTAAGACTGCAGGGACAAATGCCGGCCGCCATGAGGACAGGTATCTTCAGGAGCTTCCAGAAGGGCTTCCGAGACATACTTCTCTGCACAGACATAGCCTCCCGGGGCCTGGACAGTACCCAGGTGGAGCTGGTTGTCAATTACGATTTCCCCCCCACCCTGCAAGACTACATCCACAGAGCGGGAAGGGTGGGCCGAGTAGGGAGTGAGGTGCCAGGCACCGTCATCAGCTTTGTTACCCACCCCTGGGATGTGAGCCTCGTTCAGAAGATTGAGCTGGCAGCTCGCCGGAAGAGAAGCCTTCCAGGACTAGGGTCCCTACTTGACATGAATGCAGAGTCCTAGCGGGGATCTTTGCCTGTGTGGGGGCAAGTAAGCAAACTTCTCAGCAGGACATGCCCAGCTGCCCAGTCATCTCCCTGAAGGTCCCGGGAGTTACTGGCCAGCATTGGAAGGTGAGCTACTGGGCATGGCTCACAGTGGTTTTTCACATGAGTCTTGAAAAATAAAGGAGAGCTTGGTTCTGCATTGTGTCGTGATTTCTAACAGAAAATGATGTTTTGCCCCGGCCGGCATGGCTCAGCCATGCTCTGCCTTCTCTCCCATCTCCTGGTCACAGAAGATGAGATAGGATTAAACTATTTCACCAAACTGGCAAAATGAACATATCATATAGCATCCTCTCACTTACCTTCTTGGTTCCAGGCTCTGCAACATTATATAAGCTTTGCCTGAAGTGTAATGAGTAGTTAAGCAAATAACACTCCACAAAACAACTTAAAAATGGGTTTGATTCCCAATCAAGAGCAGGTACCTCGATTGCAGGTTTGCTCCTCCCACCCCTGATCAGAGCATGTGTGGGAGGCAGCCATATTGAGGCAACCATACCAATGTTTACCCTCTTCCCTCCCTTCCCTTCAATCTCTTAAAAAAATATCAATGGGAAAAATATCAGGTGAGAATTTAAAAAAACACACAAAACTGCCCAGTTCAGCTGGTGTGGCTCAGTGGTTGAGCATCGAACTATGAATCGGGAGGTCACGGTTCAATTTCCAGTTAAGGCACATGCCTGGGTCGATTCCCAGTGGGGTGCATGCAGGAGGCAGCCAGTCAATGATTCTCATTGATGTTTCTATTTCTCCATCTCTGAAGTCAATAAAATCTTTAAAAAAAAAAAAAGAGAGAGAGAGAGAGAGAAAGAAAAAAACAACTGCCAGGAAGCTTGTTCAAAGTGCAGATGTCTGAGCCCCACTCCAGATCTGCATGCTTTCTGAGAGTTGTCCCAAGAATTCACTTACAGGTATTTTCAAATTGTTTTGTGGAATCTATAGGTGAGTCTCAAGCCCTCTTAAGCTGATAAATCATTCATCTATGCTATTCTGCCTTCCCTAGCATCCCAACCAGGTCCTGAGTAGATATTGGTACTCTACCAGATCAAAGGGATGCTCCCAGATAAGTAATCTCCCAAGCCTTGGGGAATCTGAGTGATCTCATGCTGCCCCACCTGCCAAGATGAACCTCCTCCAGAACCATCCCCTCCACATTTTACCTCCTACCACTCCCCAAAGGTAATCATCTCTAATTAGTCCTGACTTTGTCCTAACATGCACCATGCTAACAAACTCCTTAAGAGTGAGCAACTTTTGAAATGGTAGCTAGGCAGTCTACCTTCGGGGCACAGTCTGTCTGCAACAGCCCAAGCAAGCAAATGTCCCATCTTTGCTTATTAACAGCACCAGAGATCCCCCTCCTCGGAAAGATTATCTCTCATTGCTAAGAAGTTCTTGACTACACTATCAAAAGGTGCCCCAAATATGATTTCTCTCTATGGGCCTGATCATGCTAAGGGCAGGGTTGTCTATTTCCTCTTCTGAGTAACACCAAATTATCTTTTTTTTTTTTTTTTTTAAGATTTTTAAGTTGATTTTAAGAAAGGAAGGGAGAGGGAGAGTGAAAACTATCAAGTGCTAAAGAACCTGCAATTGAGCCGAAACCGGTTTGGCTCAGTGGTAGAGCGTCGGTCTGCGGACTGAAGGGTCCCAGGTTCAATTCCGGTCAAGGGCATGTACATTGGTTGCGGGCACATCCCCAGTAGGGGGCGTGCAGGAGCAGCTGGTTGATGTTTCTCTCTCATCGACGTTTCTAGCTCTCTATCACTCTCCCTCTCTGTGAAAAATCAATAAAATATATTAAAAAAAAAAAAAAAAAAAAACCTGCAATTGAGGTACGTGCCCTTGAAAGGAAATTGAACCTGTGACCCTTCCATCCATAAGCCGACACTAACCCCTGAGCAAAACTGTCCATGGCCAGGTTGTTTTGATCCCCGGTTGGAGTGCATGCAGGAGGCAACCTATTAGTGTTTCTCTCTCACATTGATATTTCTCTCACACCCTTCCTCTCTCTCTACAATTAATAAAAAAAATAAGCTGTTTTAAAAGTAAAATAATAAATAAAACTGGCCCATCATTCCCACTCTGTGAAGTCATTTGGGACCCTCACTTTGCCTTGGAGTACCTTTCACATCTCTCCCAGTGTCACTCTGAAATGTGATGAGCTTGTCCTTACACTCCTATCAGCTATAAATCTAGAGCCCCAAGCTGACGCCCTGCCATTGAGCAGAACACCTCTCCACTACGTGTAACTGTAGGTGGGCCCTTTAACCTGTTGGTTTTTGAGTCCTCAGCTCTAACAACATGATGGTTTTATGAACAGACATTTGAGGCAGGACAAGGTCATGAAGAACTTGTCTGCTTTTACTCTTCCCAACTGAAATGTCTCTCCTCTCCCCAGATCCACCTCTCACTTGTCCTTCAGGCCCGCCACCAGGGGGCCTTCCTTGATTGCCCCGTGCACACAATCTCTGCCTTTCCAATGGTTGGATACTTATTGATAGGGTCAATGCCTTAAACCTGGCTGTCTTAGGTTAATCTTGCTTTTCGTGCTAATCTTAGAATGGAGTTTCTCTTGCCTTCCTGTGGTCCCTAGGGCTGTGCCAGTCCAGGAATCTAGTCCACACGGAGTGGCTACTTGGCTGAGACATGGATGGGGAGGGCCAGGTGTGAGGGCACAAGCAGGGGACACTGGGTAGTGATGTCTCACAGTGTTCCTGGCGGGGTAACTACAGAAACGTGGTGTTCCAGGGAAACTTCCCCAGTTCTCTACCAGATACCAGTCTGTTCGGTTGCCTGAGAAAGATGATGTACCGGCTCTTATACCTTCCATGTAACTCATCCTGTCCTCCGGGAGTGCAGCACAGCAGGTAGGCCTGGGCTGGGCATCTGTACGGGAGTTGGTGTACACACAGCCTCACCTGCCCGCCACGTGATCATTTGTGCTTGTCCATCACACCTGAGAACCGCCCTAGCTGTACGCAACACCGGTGGCCTGGGGCCCCCTCAGAGACCCCGAGAGCTCCTGCTCTCGGCTGAGGACAAGTGCAATGTCATTCCTGGGCAAGTATTCAGAAAGGTTCTCATCTTTATCAATGTAACCTTCCCCTCTGGCCTACAAGGTACTGCCAGTCAGACCGTTTGCTTCTTTACTGGCCAGTCTCTTAGCAAAAGTCAGGTTGCCGCCGAAACCGGATTGGCTCGGTGGATAGGGTGTAGGCCTGTGGACTGAAGGGTCCCAGGTTCGATTCCGGTCAAGGGCATGTACCTTGGTTGCGGGCACATCCCCAGTAGAGGGTGTGTAAGAGGCAGCTGATGAATGATTCTCTCTCATCGATGTTTCTAACTCTCTGTCCTTCTCTCTTCCTCTCTGTACAAAATCAATAAAATACATTTTTTTAAGTCAAGTTGCCAACATGGGAGAGGTTCTGAAACGATTTATATTAGACTAGTAGCCCTGCGCACGAATCCATGCTCCAAATAGCTCGCTGCTGCCCTCGGGTAGCTCTTCGCCTGCTGCCCCGCCCTCCTGTAGCTCCCTCTGTCCTCTCCACCCTCATAGCTTGCTGCCCTGCCCCCTCCTATAGCTCTCCACCAACACTCTTGTAGCTCGCTGCCCCACCCTCCTGTTGATAGTGATCCAGTCGTTATGTCAGTCGTTATGCCTCACTGCTTAAGGGATAATTAGGACTATATAGGATAGTTTTCCCAAACTTGGAAGGCATTTCCTTAAAGCAGGGGTGAGGAACCTTTTTTTTCTGCCTGGGGCCATTTGGATGTTTATAACTTCCTTCACTTAATAATACAAAATTATCAGCTTACATACTAGCCTGTTATATCTGGTCAAGCATTTCATTAACTCACCCCTAATGCCTTCACAGGGCCAGACCAAATGATTTCCCAGACCTTACCAATATACAGCCTGAGGGCCAGATGTTCCCCAACCCTGGCTTCAGAGGATACAGTCTATAAGAAATCTTTTCTGGCCGAAACTAGTTTGGCTCAATGGATAGAGCATTGGCCTGTGGACTGAAAGGTCCCAGGTTCGATTCCAGTCAAGGGCATGTACTGTGGTTGCGGGCACATCCCCAGTAGGGGGTGTGCAAGAGGCAGCTAATCGATGATTCTCTCTCATCGATGTTTCTAACTCTCTATCTCTCTCTCTTCCTCTCTGTAAAAAATCAATAAAATATATATTTTTTAAATCTTTTCTGTTGCAAGAGAGATGGAAAGGGATCCTGATTGCAATTATTTTCAGGGTCTGTTTTCTCTGGAAATAGGGACGATTTTCTGTTCTGCTGCTGTTCTAGGCCCCACAGAATTGCTTTTGCAGCAACACCTGCTCTGTAGGGGATTCAGGATGGGTTAAGGCTGTGTTTGGGATGCCAAGCAGAATAGAAGCTTCAGCAAGAACCTGGGAGAGACGTGAGAGGGGCCGTCCTGGCAGCACACGTGACTGATCAGCTCTGGTTTTCTTTCCAGCAGCAATGGCTCCCACCTTCCCTCCTACACCCGGTCACTGCCATGTCCTCTACCAAAGGGGGGGCGAAATCTGAGTGGGCTGGCACGGGGAGACCTTCTGCCTGGTTGGTGGCTGCCGGTCCTTTGGGGATGCCCCTTTGGCCACCCCAGCAGAGGCAGAGACAGAGAAGCCAGGCCCCAGAGGAGCACATAAGAGGCATCGACCTCTGGAAGAGTCTGATGAAGACCTCAGTTGCTCCAACCCCAAAACTTGGCGATTGGAGCTCGGTGGCAAGAGGTGGATGCCCTCCTGGCCAAGTCAGACAGGGATTCCTTGGACTTCTCGACTTCGAGCTTCTGCCTCTCTCACCAGGAGAGGCCTTGAGTTCCTTACATCCATCCATTTGTCCACATATCCTCTGCTGATCCTCCATCCCCTGTGCTGGCCCTTCGCTGAGTGTGCAGTAAGGAGACTGGGCAAGCCTTCAGTGCCGATCACACATGCTGGCATAAGTGCTCACAAAGGTGGGCTGTGAGGGCACCAGGTGCTGGTAGAATGGAATTAGGGGGAACGAAGCTTGAATCCCTGGGGAGCAGCCTTCATGGGTCAAGCTCCTATAATTCAGGTCCCTCTAGCCTTCCCCCAGTTGGCGGCATTGCCTCAAGGAGGAGGGACAGCTCCTCAGAACAGGAGCCCTGTGAGCTTCATATTGAAGCCACCGGAACATCTGGTCCCCAGAAGCAGCCCAGTCAGACTACCATTTGCAACTTTGCTCGGGGGACCTTGTGTGCTGGTCCTCTGTGCTGCCTGAAATCAGGCAGAGACTGGCTGCCAGAGAACCCCAATCATCCCTCCCTCATACTCTCCAAAAAGCAGCTATACAGCCTAACTGATTTGGCTCAGCGGTGGATAGAGTGTCGAACTGCGGACTGAAAGGTCCCAGGTTTGATTCCGGTCAAGGGCATGTACCTTGGTTGAGGGCGCATCCCAGGGGGGTGATTGGTGGTGGTGGTGGTGGTGGTGTGTGTGCAGGAGGCAGCTGATTGATGTTTCTCTCTCATCGATGTTTCTAATTTTCTATCCTTCTCCCTTCCTCTCTGTAAAAAATCATATATATATATATATATATATATATATATATATATATATATATAAAATTAATTTTTTACATATTAAGCAGCCATAAAGGTGAAAGGAAAATGTGTGTATTGGGGGAGGGAGGGAGTTGCCTTGCAACCTAGTTCAGTATCTGCTTAAAACTGTTGTCTTACTTCCCCACTCTGACTTGGGCGGAGCTGCAGAGCCTAACCCCAGGGCCCCGCCACAGCTGACTTGGGCGGAGCTGCAGGGACCCTCAGGGGCCGCCACAGGAGGAGGTGTGTATGTAGGTCAGAGCCTCCCCAGAAGTGCGGTTCAGGCTTTGGATCCGATTTCCCTGGACTTAGCAGAGCTGCGAAATAAAGGTTAAACTCGCCTCCCTCGGAGTGCTGGCTGATCCGTTCTCTGGTGCATTCTGCCACAACACAGGTACTGGATGAGGAAGCTGGCAAAGGTTCTAAAGAGGAAGGTGGGGATCAGAGAGAAGGCTGAGTGGACGAGAGATGCCTCCATGGTTATGCACTTCAAGCAAGAGCCACAACGATCACAGCCTTTTGAGGAAGGAAAAGGTGCAAACTGTTCAGAGAGGGTAGCGATTGGAGGATGTAAGTCTGTGGCTTCCAGGCTCTTTCTGGCTGAAGAGACTGTTGTTTCTTGGAAACTTAACTGTGTTAGTCACCATGGGAGCACAACCAGAACAATGCCAGAAAGGAACAGGGACAGCCTGAGTCTCTGGATCAAGGAGCCCTGTATTTGGAAGACCAGCTGCTCACTCACATACTCCTTTCTGGTGGCAAGATTTTCTGTTCTAGCCCTGCCTCAACAAACCCACCGAGGCCCTGTGGCACCCGACAGCCTGGCTGGTGTGGCCACAATTTAGAGGGTGAGTGGGTTTTGCTATTTGCTGAGACTAGAGAGGTCAGTGGGAAAAGACTGCCCAGGTCTTGAGAGTCAAGTAAAGGAATTTGGTATATCCTAAGAGCAATGAGAAACCACAGAAGGACTTTAGGCAAAAGGATATTAGATTTTTTTTTTCCTTTTTTTTTTTTTTTTTAATCCTCATCCAAGGATATTTTTTTCATTGATTTTTAGAGAGAGTGGAAGAAAGAGAAATATCAATGTGAGAGATGCGCATGGATTGGATGCCTCCTGAAGGAGCCACAACCAGGGCCTGGGCCGGGGAGGAGCCTGCAACCAAGGTACATGTCCTTGACCTGGAGCCTTAGGTGAGGGTAAGGGAAGGACAGGAAAACCTGTTGGCTTGCATGTGCTTGCCACTTGGGTGTGAGTGCTCACATGCCCTTGACTGTAGGAGGGTCTAGGTGTATCTATGTATAGCTGGGTGTATGGTACCTCAAGGCCATGGCCAGCAGAGCCAGCTTATCTAAGGACTGAAGAACGTTACTTAAATTTGCTGCCTAGCTAAGCTACAGAGATGGTGCCTTCCTCCTCTGGTTCAACACAGCCTATCTCTCTGAGACTGGAGTTTCCCCCATTCCTGGGATGTTAGACATTTGGTCCCTGAAGAAAAACTCAAAATCCTGAAAAGCTAAATGCTCCCTTCTCATTCCTCTATCAGCAGCTGTTATTCATCTGTCTGGACCTCCTGTCCTATGTTTTCCCATTTTTAAAAAATATATTTTAATTGATTTTTTTACAGAGAAGAAGAGAGATAGTTATAATAGAAACATCAATGAGAGAGAATCATTGATCAGCTGCCTCTTGCACATCCCCTACTGGAGATGTGCCCAAAACCAAGGTACATGCCCTTGGCCAGAATCGAACCTGGGACCTTTCAGTCCGCAGGCCAACATTCTATCCACTGAGCCAAACTGGTTTCGGCCCCATATTTTTTTTTATAGCCCTGTTTCCTGGTGGGGCTATTTAGAGTGGAACAGACATGCTGTTATCTACCAAACTCATGTTTGTGGCCTGGAAAACAGCATATCCAAGAGTTCCCCCCCACGCAGCTGCAAGAGTATGACTTGTGTGATGTGGGGTTGCTGACCAGTCTTGGGGAGTAGAGGGAAAGAAGGGAGCCAGGTTTGAGTTTGGGTGCACAAGTCACCTAGGGCAGAGCCCTGGGAACTCTCATTCAGAAGCGGGGCTGCCTAGAGACCCCCTCAAGCTAGACCCACCCGCAGTTCAGCACCTTTGGGTGGCCCTTCCTCCTGGCCAACAGGCACTGGGCAATATCAAGTGCATAATTCCTCAAAGATAGCCAAGCTAGGAGCCCTTCCCCATCGTGGCTAGCCCAGGACCTCTAGTCCCCGTGGAAGCGTTTTGCTCACTTTATTTGGGGAAGGTTTCTAGGGTCTCCAGGCCTCAGACCGGTCCCTGCACCGGTCACTCCCGTCACCTGGGAAAGGTTACAAAGATGGAGCAGCTCCAGGGAGTGCCAAGGTTCAGAATACAAACTTGAGAGGTTGTGGAAGGAAAGAGTTTGGGCAAGGACCCAGAATCCTCTCAACTTCTGTGATAAGGCATATCCCCTGTGTACGTGTGTGCGAGGGTGTGAGTACATGGGTGGGGGTTCTTGGAGGAGACAGCTAGGATGAGGGCCTGAGGCTGGAATGGGGTGGAGCCTGCCCAGCGAGCACGGGAACTTAGCCCGGAGCAGCCACCACATGAGGCGGTTGTAGCTCCAGGCCTTTCCTTAGGACCCATCCATCCTTCTGAGCTCAAGAGGCTGGAGGCTTCCACACTGAGGTAGGGGGGCTCCTGGCCAGCAGGCCACCAGCAGCTCTGGGAGGAACGGTGCTGGGACTGGGGCTCTGCTGCCCTGGAAATGACTCATTTCCTTCCCTTCAAGTAGCGTACTCTCTGTTCTTCTGCTGCTGAGTAAACGCTCCCTGACCCTCTCCAGGTGGTTGCCCAGTTCCCGCCCAAAGTCCCTCCATTCCTGGTGGGGAGCTGTAGCATATCTGAGGGGAGAGCGCTTTCCTGGGGCTGATTGGGGAAGGGGGGAGACAGGGATCTCCTGACAGTTCCCAGTTCCTGGCTGGACTCCCTGGGGGGTAGACACGCAGGCTGGGAGGAAGGGAAGGGAAAGAGAAGGGCAGGGGCAGGGAGCCCCTACCTGAATCCAGTGTCCATAAAGTTAACCCCTCATGTCCAGAGACTATCTCCTCCTCACACAGGAAAACCGGGATCGCAGAACACTGTGACCATAAAGCGGGCCTAGGGGCGTCCAGAACAGACGGCAGGCAGGCAGGTGGGATATTCTATGGTTGGGAGAGGGCACAGGGCCGAGGGCCACTTTCTGAAAAATATATTTTATTGATTTCTTACAGAGAGAAAGGGAGAGGGATAGAGAGCTAGAAACATCAATGAGAGAGAAACATCCATCAGCTGCCTCCTGCACACTCCTCACTGGGGATGTGTCCGCAACCAAGGTACATGCCTTTGACCGGAATTGAACCTGGAACCCTTGAGTCCACAAGCTGACGCTCTATCCGCTGAGCCAAACCGGTTAGAGCAGGCCCTCTCTCTTGAGAGCCAGTTTCGGGAAGGAAACCTAGAGCCCCCCCCCTCCCCCCCGCAGAGCACTGGGAGGGCGCGGGGGGGGGGGGGGGGCTGGAGAGGGGAGGCAGTGCCGCCCCCTGGCGGCGGCGCGCCGGCAGCGCAGCTCCCTGCTCACTGGTCGCAGGTCCGGTGACTCCCCACCCCCCCCTCCCGCGAGGCTGCGCTGCTGAGCCGCTGGAGCCGACGGTTGGGACCCCATCGTCGCCCTCGGCCCTTCTCCTGCTTCTCAGGTTCTCGAGACCAGACCCTGCCCGCCTGCCGGGACCTGCGCAGCATGCGGCCCGCGGGCCTCGAGTGTCCCCACCTGCTCCGCCGGCGGCCCCTGCGGCCTCTGCTGCGGCTGCTGCTCCTGCTGCTGCTGCTGCCGCAGCCGGTGACCCGCGCCCAGGCCGGGCCGGGCGCCCCCAGTGCCCCGGGCACCTCCCCCGCGCCCAGCACCCTCAGTGCCAAGACTGGGCCAGGATCCCCCAGCCACCCGACTGTGCCCAGCACCCCTAGTCCCGCCACCTCGCCCAGAACCCCCAGCACCCTGCACCTGCGGAAGCAAGCTCAGGCCCTGATGCGGGAGTTCCCACTCGTGGATGGGTGCGTAGGTGCGGTGGGCGCTGAGCTCACTCGCCCCTGGGCTGGGGAGGAGGTCCCCTCCCGCGGATGCCCTTTTCCTCCTCTTATCACCCCCTCCCTGTCGTGAATGCCCGCGCCCCGGCCTCAGAGGGTCCCTGTGTGTAGTCTGGGTAACTGTCCTGCCTGATCTCCTATGTGCCCCTGACCTGACCCCCTGCTTGACCTCCTTCCAGCCACAATGACATGCCTCTGGTCCTGAGGCAGTTTTACCGCAACCGGCTACAGGACGTGAACCTGCACAACTTCACGCAGGGCCAGACCAACCTGGACAGGCTTAGGGACGGCCTCGTGGGCGCGCAGGTACCACGGGGACTCACAAGGCACCACTGGCTACTGGGGAAGGTGGTGGTGGTGGTGGTGGTGCGGGGGGGTGAACGGGCCCTAGAGACCACAGTAAGTTAGTCACATGGCGACTCAGCGACCAGAGTGACCCAAAAAGAGCTGTAACATCAATGCCCGGGGAGCCAGCGTGGTGGCCATCCAGGCAGCAGGGAACAAGCAGCTTATTGCATGTGGTCTCTGGGTCCGCTGGGGGCTGTGGGGGCTGTGGGGGCTGTGGAAGGAGGAGCTCCAGAGCAGGCCCTGCCCAAGCCAATCCCTGGCCTTCCCCCCCCAGTTCTGGTCGGCCTACGTCCCATGCCAGACCCAGGGACAGGATGCTGTGCGCCTCACCCTGGAGCAGATTGACCTCATCCACCGCATGTGTGCCTCCTATTCTGAGCTGGAGCTTGTGACCACGGTTCAAGGTAGGCGGGCTGGTGGGGGTGGTGTTAGGGACTCGATGGAGCTACCCGGGCCCCTGAAAGTGACCGCCTCACCTGCCTGCCCCCAGATCTGAACAGCACCCGCAAGCTGGCCTGCCTCATTGGCGTGGAGGGCGGCCACTCGCTGGACAGCAGCCTCTCGGTCCTGCGTACCTTCTATCTGCTGGGCGTGCGCTACCTGACCCTCACCCACACCTGCAACACGCCCTGGTGAGCACGGGGCAGGTGGTAATGGGGCCACGGAGGCAGGGATCTGCCCAAGATACCACAGAGACCCAGGCCACACTTCGTCCCTGGAATCTGGCTCTGACCCTGCAGGGGGGAGGGGATCTGGGCTCACAGAGCAACTCGGGACCCCAGCAGGGTCTTCCTACCGCCGGGCCCAGCCCAGCTTGGGTTCTTGTTCTTGCCCTATGGGGGTGCTGGGATAGAGGGTTCAGGAGCCCCAATTATGGCTCTGAGCTCTTGTGGTCCAAGTATGGCCGCCTGTCTGACTGCCTCCTGACCATCCTGCAGGGCGGAGAGCTCAGCTAAGGGCATCCACCCCTTCTACAACAATGTCAGCGGGCTGACCAGTTTTGGTGAGGTGAGAACCTTGGTTCCGTACCCTGTCCCACCCGCGTCCGCACCGCACACCCCACCTGCTCCCTACAAATAAATGCACATACCTGAGGCAGCCCTGACGCCTTCGGCCCCACCTTTCCCTGCAGAAGGTGGTGACGGAAATGAACCGTCTGGGCATGATGGTAGACCTGTCCCACGTCTCCGATGCCGTGGCACGGCGGGCCCTGGAGGTGTCACGGGCACCCGTGATCTTCTCCCACTCGGCTGCCCGGGGGGTATGCGAGAACGAGCGGAACGTTCCCGATGACATCCTGCAGCTTCTGGTGAGAAGACGCCGCCCTGGCCCTTGACCTAAGAGCAAGAGGTTTGAAACAGGAACCCTTGAACCTGAGCCCCAGCGCCCTCAACTTTCCCAGGCCCAAGGCTGAGCATCTGCCCTGGGCTCTTGAACCCAACATAAGGCTCTAGGTGGTAAACACTCCTCTAAATATGCAAACCCAGGGCCAAGACCCCCACCCAAACCAGGACTGACACTCCATTCATACAAATCAGAGAAATGAGGTTTCCTCTTACCTCAAGGTCATGGTGGGTAACCTTCCTCACAGGCGCCCAGCCGGTGGACAGGCAGGTGGTTGTGCTGGGGGAGGGAAGGAGAGAGGGGCAGAGCTGAGTGTCAATCTTTCCACTCGTTCAGAAGAAGAATGGTGGCGTCGTGATGGTGTCCTTGTCCATGGGCGTGTTGCAGTGCAACCCGCTGGCCAATGTGTCCACTGTGGCAGGTGAGCAGCTCTGATCTGGACCTAAAGCTTTTCTGGGGAACCTCAGAACAACCAATACATTTGACCCATCTTTTGGCAGTAGGCACAGACCTTCCCCCCCCCCCCCAAACCAAAACATGCACAGGACACAGCACCTTGGTGTCATCACACCCAGAGCCACAGGGTGGATAGTGCAGCACTGTGGGGTATAAGGGAGGCAGTCACACACAAAGCCTGGGTGTCTCTGTAGGGCCTCCCAGAATGCCTTGCCCCTTAGGACTCTGTGGTGTCTGACCCTCTCCCATCTTTCACATCCACGGAAAGGAGCACCCATAGGTTCTCAAGGAGACTTGAGGCAGGGTGAATCCTGATGTGAAATGGCCCAAACTGGGAGTGCTGGGATCTGCTAGAAATCTGAAGTCCAGTCCAGAGACGGCCGGGATCCCATCAGGTCAAAGCTCACGGCTCTCAAGTTGGCACACTGGGTGCCGAGCCATGAAGTAATTGGCCTGCATGGCCTACAGGCTGCAAAAAAAGAGGAATCCGCAGAGTCCAGTCCCCTCCCCTCTCCCCTGCCCTGGAAACCCCACATTGCTGACTCTCCATCCCCAGATCACTTCGACCACATCAGGGCAGTCATTGGATCCCAGTTCATTGGTATCGGCGGCGATTATGATGGGACCAGCAGGTGAGTGCTTCCCCTGTGGCTTGTCAGGAGCTAGCTGTGGGGCCGTCACAGCCTCCGTGTCCACCTCAGCATGGTCCTCGTGGCCTTTATAGGCCTTGACCACAGGTCTGCTGGCCCACTTGGCATCTCCCCTCCTCGGCTCTGTTTCCTGGACTTTCTTGTCTGATTGTGGCCCATTGGCCTCACTCTAAGTCATCATATTTGGCTAAGCCACCAGACAGCTCATCTGCCTAGCATGGGCACCCACCCCCAGTGCCAGCAGCCCCACTGCCTCTGAGCAGACTTTTAGCAAAGTCTGGTACAGGTTGACCATATTTTCTGCTTTCAGCTGGGTCTGTGCCTGCAGGGGTTCAACCCAGTTATTTTCAAAAAAAATAAATATTTATTTCAGAGAGGAAGGGAGAGGGAGAGAGCAACATCAATGATGAGAGAGAATCAATTGATCAGCTGCCTCCTGCAGGCCCCCTAATGGGGATAGAGCCCGAAACCTGAACATGGAATCAAATCATGACCTCCTGGTTCATAGGTCGGTGCTCAACCACTGAACCACACCACCCAGGCTCAATCCAGTTCTTAAAAAGCTTTTCTTCTCTTTATACATAGAGGGAAAACTTGCATTCAGTGAAAGGCATAGATCTTAATACAATTCCAATGAGTTTTGACGAATATTCAAGGAGGTTTTGATTCTGAAAGATGAAGCATAGGGGTAAATCATGTGCTCTCTCATACGGAGCCTGAACCCTTAGGGCTGTGGTTCTGAGTCAGGACCAGGGAAACAGATATGCCCCCGCCCCCAACCGGTTGCCTGGCGGCCGTGCAGTTTCCCTCAGGGTCTGGAGGACGTGTCCAGGTACCCAGTACTGATAGAGGAGCTGCTGGGTCGTGGCTGGAATGCGGAAGAGCTCCAGGGAGTCCTTCGAGGAAATCTGCTGCGGGTCTTCAGACAGGTGGAGCAGGTAGGTGTGCTGGGCTGGGCGGAAGAGGCTGCGCAGGTTGGGGGAGCTGCGGGAGCTGCCTCACCACCGACTGCTGCCTCCAGGTTCGGGAGGAAAGCAGGGGGCAAAGGCCCTTAGAAGACGAGTTCCCAGACGAGCAGCTGGGCGGCTCCTGCCGCTCTGTTCTCCCGCGGCTGCATCCGAGTCATCACATGGCCCCAGACCAGAAACTAATGGGGACTCCTACGCAGCACTGGAGACCGAAGCTGTATTCTGAGAAGCCGTTCTCCAAGTCCTCCCCCCTCACAGCCCCGAGCCTCACAGTTATTGCTTCCCTCCCAGTTGTCACTCTGTGGCTCTGGTGACCCGGTGCACCCTGTCACATGTCACTTTGGCAGCCGTGGGACACCCCACAACGCTGCCCCTTTGTGCAGGCACAAATATTTCCTGAAAATAAATATTTTAGAATGGAACCAGGTATGAGTGTCCTTCTCTGTGGTGGGTCCCCAATACTGGGTAGCTCACCTCAATCCCCATCCTGACCCACTGACCACCGTCTGACGGTCTTTCAGAGAATTCTAGTTCACATTCCCAAGTAGGGAACCTGCCTGGATCACAAATGACCTCTGTGCCTATTTGGACTGAGCCCAGAATGTCAGGCCACATAGTGGGCCGTGGGCCTCCAAAGGCTGGACTGCCCTGGATATGGGCCTCCCCCTCCCTGACCCACAGAGGCACAGGCTACTTCAAGACAATGGCCCCATCTTACCCCCAGGCCATAACAGCAATAGCAAGTGCACTAATAACAGCCAAAACCAAGAGTTGGTACATTAAGAGTTAGTAACCATAGCTAATAATAAACATGACAATAGGTAATGGCTAATCAAAATAACAATATTAATAGTCAATGTATATCCCATGATGGAGCAATTTCACCCAAGGTATATATGCAAGAGGAATGCATGCCTACATTCCCCTATAGGCATATAAAAAAAAAATAACTATAGCAGTACTATTAATAATCCCAAACTGTGCATGTCAAAGTCAAACTTCAAGAAGCCAAAGACAAAAGATTATCTTAAACGCAGTCATATTTTTTAAATCTTATTAACTTGAGGAGCAACAATACTGACAACTGAATTTTCAATAGAAATAATGGGGCAGCGTCCTTGGCAGCCCCCCCGGATCCGTCTCTTGCTCCAACAGTGCTTGGACAGAATGTACTCAGGTACACCCCTTTTTCCAAGAACACCTGTTTTCCACTCACCACCTTTAGAACCACCTCAGCCACCCTCAGGTTCCAAGAGCAGCAAATACCGTGTGTGTGTGTGCGTGCGTGTGTGGAGAGAGGAAGTGGGGAAGAAAAAGACAGATTGACAAACATGGAAGTGAGAGAGATATCATTGAAGGTTTCCTTCCATACGACTGGGTTCTAATCCACAACCTGGGTCTGTGTCCTGATCAAGAATTCACCTTTCAGTATACAAGATGCTCCAACCAATTGAGCCATAATAGCCAGGGTAGCAAACACCATTTTTGGATCATAACTCCTTATTGCTAAACAACCGTGAGCCCCCTAATTCCTCAGAATTATACCACTGAGGTGAAGGCTGCCCTCCACTGCCTGATCAAGCTGCATCTGCAGGCCGCCTACGCCTCCCTTTCCCTGGGCTTCTGTTTTGACCACTACCGTGTGGCTCCGGAGGGCGTGGGCCACTTCCTCAAGTTGGCAGAGGAGAAGTGCAAGGGCACCCAGAGTCTCTTAAAGGTGCAAAACCAGCGTGGTGGCCGAATACATTTCCAGGACGTGCTGAAGCCTTCCCAGGATACGTGGGATAAAACTCAGGGTGTCATGGAAGCCGCCCTGGTCATGGAAAGGAACCTGAACCAGGCCCTTGGACTCTGCAAGCCCTGGTTCTACCCTCACAGAACCTCCTCTCTCTGACTTCCTGGAGAACCACTTCTTGGATGAGGAAGTGAAACTCATCAAGAAGATGGGCAGCCACCTGACTAATCTCTGAAGGCCGTCCAGTCCCCAGGCTGGGCTGAGTGAGTATCTCTCCAAGAAGCTCACCCTCAAGCAGACCAGGAGCCTTCCGAGCCCAGAGGCCCTTGAGCGGCCTCTCTGCATTCCTCTGGTGTCTAGCTTTGGCTGACCTTCCTAAAACCACGAAAATCCTCACTGGAGGATATGTTGTTGTTGTTGTTGTTTTTGATTTTTAGAGAGAGGAAGGGAGGGAGAGAAAAACATTGATCGGTTTTCTCTGGATAACCAGGGATAGAACCCACAACCTAGGAATGTGCTCTAACTAGGAATCGAATCTGCAACCTTTTTGTGTTCAGGACAATGCTCCAACCAACCAAGCCAACTGGCCAGGGCCTGCAAAGCATCTTTTTAACCACCATGGAGTCCTCTCCCATGCACTGAACCAAATGGAAATAATAATTATTTTTTTTGGGGGGGGAAATAAGGGACATCTATACATAGTGAAATATCTTTAACCTGCTGAATGAAAGTAACTACTACTGTTGAATTCTGTGAAGTGAAATATTCTTCAAAAATGAAGGGAAATAAATATATATTTTAGACCAACAAATGTGGAGAAATTGGAAATGCACAAATCACTTAATGAGAATGTCATGTTTATTACATATATACAGGAAATTATTTTGCTGTCAGTTAAAACTGACAAATCTAATAGATTTCTATAGATTTAAAATTCTATAGATTTTCAAATTCTATAGATTTCATGGAATAGTTGACCTTGTGAGGGTGAGGCACATCCTCGCAACTAAAACCCTTCATGGACCACCTGCGACTTGTCTGACGAGGGGTGGGACTAGAAACATTCCTGGGTCCCTCCCAGCTTCCCTCCAGCCCACCCCCTTAGTCTGTGTCCCTACCAGCAGCAGAGGCAGAGGGACCCCGGCTGGAGGGAGCCCACGATGCGATGCGTCGCCAGAGGGCGCTCGCGGCGGAAGATTGCCTGGCTCTTCGGGGCGCTCTCCCTGCCGGGAGCAGGAGGGCCATGGTGCCCCCTGGCGGCCACGCAGTGCGACGGCGTTCCGATCCCTGGACGTCTCCCCAGCGTCTTGCAAGATCCTCCAACTCTCGAAGCCACGCCGCTGAGCCATTAAATCCATTAAATCGACGGTGCGGTGACCGCCTGCCTCTCTCAGGCTTTCAAACCCAGCCCCTGCCCGCCTGCCCGTCGGTGCAGCATGCGGCCCGCGGCCCTTGGGTTTCCCCACGTGCCCGGCTGGCTGCCTCTGCTGTGCCCGCTGCTCTTGCTGTCGCTGCTGAAGCCAGTAACCCGCGCTCGGACCATTGCGGGCGGACAGCGCTGGGAACATCCAACGCCACAACCATGCCCGATGTTTCCAGTGCCCCCACCACGCCCAGCACCCTCAGGGCCCCGAGACTGCGGAGCGAGCGGAGGCCTTGATGTGGGGCTTCCCACTGGTGGATGGGTGTGTGGATGCCGCGTGGGGGCGGTGGGGGCTGAACTCACCCCTAGGCAGGGGAGGGGATCCCCCCAGTGCAGGGATAGTGAGGAGGCTCCCTCACACCTCCCCTGGTTACACTCTCTCCATCATCATTCATGGCCCTTTCTCCCCATTATCCCATTTTTAAAAATATATATATTTTTATTGATTTTTTACAGAGAGGAAGAGAGAGAGGGATAGCTGGAAACATCGATGAAAGAGAAACACCAATCCGCTGCCTCTTGCACACCCCCTACTGGGGATGTGCCCGCAACCAAGGTACATGCCCTTGACCAGAATCGAACTTGGGACCTTTCAGTCCACAGGCTGATGCTCTATCCACTGAGCCAAACCGGTTTCGGCCCCTTTATCCCATTTCTGGTGGAACCCCCACCTCACACCCGAGCGGAGCCTCCAGAGATCTCCCTACTAGTATTGTTTGTGTGAGGCGGGAAGGTGGAGTGGGACAGGGCAGGTCCAGGCATGTTGACCTGAGGCCATGGCCATGTCCGTGTTCTAACCTTTTCTTGACACCCCTAGCCACAACCACCTGCCCCTGCTCCTGAGACAGCTTTTCCAGAACAGGCTCTGAGACGTTAACCTGCGCAAACTCAGCCGTGGCCAGACCAGCCTGGACAAACTAACGGATGGCCTTGTGGGTGCCCAGGTACCGCAGGGACACACAGGGGGCCACAGCATGGCTGCAGGGGAGTGTGGAGGCCACAGGAACCTGGGTAGGCAGTCCTCTGGTGACCGGGTATCATAGGACACAGATGTGTCATCGTGTGGCGGCTGCTGGGGAGCGTGGGGAAGTTGGAGGCCAAGACAGGCTGGCCACATAGATCCCTCGGTTCGGTGGAAACGCACAGAAATGATCAGAACATCCCTGGTGATGGTGGGAGGTGACGAGACCACAAAGGACATGGTGAGCTGGCCTTGGGGCAGGCACACAGCACATGGATCAACAGCAGGCAAGGTTTGGCTGCTGGCAGCAAACTCAATGGTTATCAAGCTGCCATGGGGTCGGCCTCACTCAGGCCATGGACCCTCATGAGTATCTTGAGGGGCTGAGAAGGAGTGGCGGGCCAAGGCCTAATCACATTCCTACCCTTAGTTCTGGTCGGCCTATGTCCCTTGCCAGACCCAGGGACAGGATGCCATCCGCCTCGCACTGGAGCAGATTGACCTCATTCGTCGCATGTGTGCTTCCTACACTGAACTGGAGCTTATGACCTCAGTCCAAGGTGGGCTGTTGCATGTGGCGGGGGCAGGGGGGGACCAGTCGGAGGCTTCCTCTGGTGCTTCTGGCCCTGGTTCCGGACCACTTGGATTTCCACCCTCTTCTAGGTCTGAACAGCACTCAAAAGCTGGCCTGCCTCATTGGTGTGGAGGGCGGTCACTCACTGGACAGCAGCCTCGCTGTTCTGCGGAGCTTCTACCTGCTGGCGGTGCGCTACCTGACACTCACCTTCACCTGCAACACACCCTGGTGAGTGTAATGGGATGACGGACAGGACGGTGGGGAAGCTGCCAGAGAGATGAGGACAGAGGGGTCCAGGGAGGGAGGCTAGACTGCCGGCAGGTCCCTCACGCTCCCAGTTAGCAGCTGGCCTACGTCCTTCCCCTGTTCTGGAGGGGGGATGGATGGACGGAGAGATTGCAGAGTCCCCAGGCTCTGGTGGCCAAGGTGTGGCCCAATAAATTGCCCTCCACTGGCTCTTCTGCAGGGCAGAGAGTTCCGTCAAATGTGAACACCATTTCTTCACCAACATCAGTGGGTTGACAAGCTTTGGTGAGGTGAGGACTCCAGCTTCCTACCTGAACCCACCTGTTCTCTATAGATATGTGCATACGTGCACCTGTGACACACATACACCCC